AAGGGGAGAAAGAAGATGTTACTTTACATTAATTTCCAAAAAGTAGAAATCAAAAGAACGAATGGATTAAGAGAATATTTGGTACCATCGGCAATATACCCCCAAATTTCGTGATTTGTGAATAACTCTTTGAAATAACAAGCTATTATAAATACAAAAAAATTTGTTACCAAATTTTGTTCCAACCTTGCTGTTGAATTATAAAAGAATTACTCGTTTTCACACAATCTTTACCATTTCCATTAATTCAGGACGTAAGCCATTAGAAACGCCTGCACCGAGTCTCCAATCTCTACTCATTTGACAAAAATTATTTAATTTCAAGTCCGATTTTGATTTAAAAAAATGTTCCAGATGCAATAAGTTTGGAAAAAAAAATTGTCTTACTAGATATAATTCAAAATTTTATTACTCTATCTATTGGCCGGCCAAACTATAGATAAAATTCAAAATTTAGAAAAAAGTTACAAGAAGTGAATATAAGATTTCAAAAGTTGAATATGCTGTACGAAAATAAACTTGAAAAACTAAAGAAAATGCAGAAACAAATTGACAATTCTGTAATTGTCAATTTGTTTCTGATAAAGGTACACATTGTGTAGTGAAATTTGAGTTAGATTTGACTTAGAACCAAGGGCTGTGTTTTTACTTGAGCAAATTTATAATTATTCCCTAAAAAACCCAAGATGATCTGAAGTTACAGTACGGTATTGTATTCCTGGAGGTACACTTCTCCAAAAGAACATGAATTTGCAAGAAGAAGTCAGTTTTTAAAAGCTCCATCCAAAACAACTTTAAACAGATATATGGGAAAATCTCAAGGAGTTTTCTCAAAGCAAAAAAATAATAGAGAATAATTGAGAACTATTTAATAGAGAATAAAATTAATCCTTGAGTTTTTTTATTCAAATTATTGAAGAAATAATAAAGAGTTATTGTAAGTTTCTTATAAATTTGTAAAGATTAAAAATAACTATTTAACCTAAATGTAAATATTTATTTTTTTTAAATAAATAAAATTATATTTGCTTATAAAATGTTATAATTTTTGATGTTTTTGGTCTAGTTCTTAGAAAAAATTACAATCAACCAAAAAAATTATTATAGAACCCATAAAACAAAAAGTAAATTTTTGTATACAAAAATTTATCAAGGTTTCAAACCAAAGTATTCTATTGGAGCGCGGACTCATAGCTCCCCAAAGGCCATTTTTTTGACATTGCGTAGACTTTTTATTACTGTCAATCGATGCAGACGACGCTTCAAATACAGAAAATTTATTGACTTTTCCATTTTCATTCTCCATCGCATTGGAACGTCGGCTTGCCCAAAATCCATCGCTCCACACTGAATATGTGACATTTATGCAAGACTATTTTTCTTCCGGTCATATGCAAGCATCTACCTCATCCTCATCTTTTGGGTATTACCTCCCACATCATTATGTAATCCGAATGGATAGTCCAACAATCAAACTCCGAGTAGTCTTTGACGCTAGGTAGTTGTAAGTCCGCATGTGGAATTTCTCCCAACGACTCCCTATTAGTTGGTCCTAAATTGCAAAGCGATCTTTTCCAAATTCTCGTCTGGTTTCGTTTTCACTCATATATACCTACTCATTACTGACATTTGTCAAATGTTGCGCCAGATTCTGATTCTACCAGAACACCACCAATTTCAAAAGATTCTTTAGCACTTATTAGATCGTGGTGGCTTTCAATTGCGATAGTTGGCTAGGAATGCTCCCAAACTGTTGGAAGGAATTCCTCCTGAATTTTGCAACACTCAATTTTGACCAGGAATCAAAACCTTTTATTAAGATTTTAGGCCTCAAATAGGACCCACTAAATGACTGTTTTCCTTATCAAATGACCCCCTTTAAGCACTTGTGCACCAAACGTTCATTACTCTCTGAATTAGCTCGAATTTTCGATCGGATGGGTTTCCTGAGACATCTCTCATATTTTTGCCAAGCCTATGATCCAGTATTTATTGGCTCTTGAACTCAGTTGGGATGATGCTCTTCCTGCTGATGTGGTAGCTCGATGGTCCGAATTTATCTCACAAATGGTATGATGTCATGCCTAATTGCGTAACCCCCGCAAGGTAATCCGGGATAAGACTGTTTCTTGTTAGCTTCATGGATTTTCTGACGCGAGTAAAGCTGGTTATGCGGTCGTTGTTTATTTAAGAACCATCTCTTTAACTCAACAAGTCAATGTAAAATTGTTATATGCTAAATCCAAAGTTACCCCTTTAAAGAGAATTTCTATTTCCAGACGTGAATTATGTGCTGCTTTGCTATTAAAAAGCTAATAGATGCAATATTGAATGGTACGATTAAAATCAATGGAATTTTTGCATGGACAGATTCCACTGTGATTTTGAATTGGGTTCGTTCTTCTCTACACACATGGAAAACGTTTGTGAGCAACAGCGTAGCTCAAATTCAAGTCGTGATTCCTGGTTCATCTGAATTATTAGACCATCCCTCCGAGACACAACAAGAAATGCGAATAAATGCGGTCTCAGAAATCGATTCTGACATTATTGACACGATCTTGAATAAATTGTCGTCTTTACACAAGATCAAGGCTATCATCATTGCATGGTGTCTTTGTTTTGCTGATTACACTCGCCATAAACCCCGTCGCCCTCTGTCATTAACGGAAATGGAAATGCAAAATGCTCTACACATTCTCATAAAACATATTCAGGCTCATTATTTTGCAGACTCAATCAAAACTTTGTCTGGCGTGTGTCTTAAGCATCTTCGTAAATTGTCGCCTTTCATAGAAATTCAAGGACTTATTGAAGGACGTCTTATGCACGCAGACTTTTGCTATGACGCGAAACATCCCATTTTGTTGCCCTCTAATCATCGCTTAACTGACGTTATCATTGAAATAATGCATCGTCGTCATCTTCACCTTGGTACTGAAACTCTACAGTATCTCTTTCAACAACAATTCTGGATTTTGGGAGCTAAAAGACGTATATTACGCGTATTTTCCCATCAATATCGTTGTTGGCGTCTTAATCCAAAATCTATTCAATCTCCAATGAGTGCCTTTCCTAAACTTAGAGTTTCTCAAATAAAAGCCTTTGCGTGTGTTGGTGTTGATTTTGGAGGGCCATTTTACATTATGAGAAAATATCGTGGTTGCAAGTATCAAAAATGAGCGCGCTAGGATTCGGCCCTAGTTTTGAGAAAAACAAAATTTTGTTTGTGGTGGGCCAAATTGGCCCACCTAATTTTATTGCAAAAGTAAAAGGAAAGGAACAATCACGTAAGCAAGAGAAGACGAAGATTTTAATTTATATAACAATTAAAGCTTTTAAAATAACAATTAAAACTCATACCCAACCAAAAAGGTCACGAGACAACCCCCATAAAAGTTCAGTAGATAAAGAAATTTTCCGAGAAACTAAAATAGCATATCAGCAGCTTATCCGCCCAAAGGTTACTAGTCAACCAACCCAATTAAGTGGTCACCCCAATAAATAGTCTGGGGCAAATTGATATACAAACAATCCCACAATAGTCAAGAATCACCAAAATTCATAAACTGTCTGGGACATGTCAAACTGTTACCAAAATTAGAACAAAATTCTTGAGAACCCGGTGATAACGAGCGTATCCAGGATGTAAAGGTCAAAAGTGAAGCAGGATACGGCCAAGATAAGGAAAAATTTTGTTTAATTAAAAACCCTAAAAATTATCTAAGTATTCCAAGTAATCACGAATATTAGAAACAGGGGGCAAAAAGGGCAACCTCGGCTCAAAAGGGCAAGGGCGCCTTCCATATAAATAGGACCCAACACTCAATCAGAAATTAATTCAATCTTGATCATAGTGTCGTGCTGTGCGATTGAGTGTGTGACAAAATGCCACCCTGCTAAATTCCGACTAAGTGCTACTTCCGCCACCTGGTTGACCTCGATCATTTACTGTTCTCGCAATTGCCCAGATGATGCTATTCAATTTAATTTCGCCCTGATCTTAGAATGACGACATACATTATTTTGCGAATCTTAACTTATGATGGGGCGGCTTCTAACTCAACATAAATAACCGTAAAGTAGTTTAAGAATTATGAGGGTTGGGATGGGCTGGGTGAGTTGTCGGGTAATTCGAGATATTCAATCCGAAACTACGGGGTTTCGAGCTGTTGAATGACTGATCCTTTCCTGGAACTGTTTCTCCTCTTGTATTGGGTGTTTAGAAATAATTGTAATTTCATTCACTATTTTTTTGTTGTTACTTAAAATCATAATCAATAGGAATAAGTTGTTTGATCGTTTAACTTGTATCGGAAGTGGCTAGTAGGAATTGAATTGAGTTAACGGATTATTAGACTATGATCTTATGTGGTTAATTATTAACGCCAATAATGCGGTAGACGTAATTCTTTGCAATGAACGGAATAGTAAAATGTAATGGAAAAATTTTTAGTATTTTAATTTGAATTATCTTTCCTTTTATTCCGTTTTATGTTACTTTTAGTTTATTTCATTTTATAACAAGTTCCCAAACTTTAACTTGATTAACAAATTGTTATCTTTAGTTTGAACACTTGGATTCTGACTGCTTAAACCCTTCATCTTTCCCAAAGTAATTGACTCTACAAAATACCGCTGGAGAACCTACCTCAAATAAATTTATTCTTCTTGTGGCGCAACCCGCTCGGGCCGTAAAAGAGTACCTACAACTTTTATCAAAGAGTCTTAAACACACGCCACATGTTTTATGTTTAAAAATTTTTGTTTATGTTTGGGTTTTTGTCAATTATTCGTGTTTTTTTTATCTCAATCGTCCCGAAGTTAGAAACCAATAATTTTTGCGAACCGCTCCACAGTTTTAAATTTGAAATACATTACGATTGACGACGTATTTTATAGAAGAGCGTATATTAACATCAACATAAGAGGTAAGCTTAAATGCACCACAGAAACAGTGTAAAATATTAGTGTTGTAAAAAAATACTAAAAACACTTACCATAACATAATGCAACTATATTTTCCAGTCACTTCATCTCCTCTATTTTTCAACATTTCACTAATATCATAATATCCATAACCATATGCAATTTGAAAGGGAGTTTTTCCATCATTACTGACACCACTCGTGTTAACTTTATACATAATTAACAATTTAACAACCTCTGAATGACCTCCTTGACATGCAAGATGAAGAGGAGTAAAACCTCCACAATTCACCGATTCGGTATTAGCTCCAAACTCGATTAATGTATTTGCGATTTCAACAAAACCCTTCGAACAAACTAAATGCAATGATGTCATTCTTTCATTGTTACCAACATTGACATTAGCATCAGCCCCAAGTAATAAATTAGTAACCGTTTCGTGTCCTCTGAAAGAGGCCCAATGAAGAGGAGTCCAACCAGAATTTGTAACATCTTCAATATTCGCACCAGAAACGAGCAACAATTTTACAACCAAATCGTGCCCATTTTGACACGCCAAATGGAGTGGAGTGACCCCCTGTTTCGTCACTGTTGAAACCTTGGCTCCCAACTCGAGTAATATTTTCACTAAGTTTGGGTGATTTTGTTGAGAAGCCCAATGCAATGGTGTGAAACCTCGATGGTTACTTGTAGCAATATTTGCACCAGAATGTATCAACAGTTTGACAATATCGTCAAATCCTTGATAACATGCTAAAAGGAGCGCTGTTGATCCTTCAATGTCCATAATGTCGACTTTAACCCCCGACTTTATCAACATTTTGACGATATTGTAATGTCCATTATGACAAGCCCAATGAAGTGGTGATGACCCTTCTTGAGTAACACTGTCAACACCAGTTTGAAGTAACAATTCAACCACATTGTCATGTCCTTCCTGACACGCCAAATGAAGAGGTGTAAATCCACGACTTGTTGCAATTCGGGGATTTACCGAAGTTATCAAGAGTCGAACTACAACTTCGTGTCCTTTTAAGCATGCTAAGTGGAAAGGCGTTTTGCCGGTTTTTGTTACTGTTTCAAGGTTTGCACCAGATGCTAAAAATAACAGAAAACAGGTCAAACAACTTGCAAATACTAACTAAATGTAAAAATGTATACTAACTAAATGTTAAAAATAAAAAAATGTACAAAAGTTACAAATAGAAACCTAGTATACAGAATGTTTCAGTAATATGCTTTTTCAGGAAACATAATATAATATACAGGGTATTTCACGAGTGATAATGAGCCTGACGGAATTGAAAATACAACCCACAATACATTTGCAAAGTTAACGTGGATATTTTAGATATCGCATTGTTTGAAAAACCGAATTATGAATCCACGATAGCTTGCTGCTGGAGTTTATTATTAATCAACATAACATATTGTATGATGACGATGACGATATTGAAATTCTGGATGTTATTTATTATGGCATATCACTCCAGATTCATGTATGTAACAATTATTTCGATAGTTTGGATAATGCTAGTTTTCGTAAACGATTTCGTTTGTCAAAAGAATGCTGTTTAAATTTGTTAAAACTGATTGAAGAACATTTAGAATATCCATATGACAGGTAAAATATTCATCATTCTTCACAACTCTTGAATGCAGCAATTCCTTCGTTTCAGTAACAATGCAGTTACTGCACCCATGTCAGAATTCAGTCGCCTGGTGGCGAAGATGCAGAAATTTTTCGAAACAGAAAATCTTATTTTTCAATTAACACTCAAATGATATGCACAGTCGAATTAAAAATTACCAACATCGTTGCGCGGTGGCCAGGATCGGTACATTATGCCACTATATTTAATAATAGCCGAATTTAAACAGATTTTGAAAGACGTACATACAGACATTGTTTATTATTAGGAGATGGTGGTTATTCTAATAAAACATACAGGGTATTTCACGAGTGATAATGAGTTTGACGGAATTGAAAATACAACCCACAATACATTTGCAAAGTTAACGTGGATATTTTAGATATCGCTTTGTTTGAAAAACCGATAATGAATCCACGATAGCTTTGCTTCCAATAATTTTATTTGTCACAACTGACATTAAATTTAGCAAAAAGTCAAAATGCATTCGAACGATGAGAAAACAGATCTGATTCTCATTTATGGCGAATTTGGCAAAAATGCTTCTATCGTTGAACCTTTCTAAAGACAATGTTTCCTGAATAGAAAAGCTCCAAAAAGTCTTGAATCACTAAAGTGTTTTCCAATGGTAGATAAACAAATAACCTTAAAAATTGTGTTTCCTGTCTTGTCAGTTTCTTTGTGTCAGTCACGCGATAACTATGTTTTATTAATTTTAAAATTCATAATCAAAATCCATGAAGCCTACGCAAATGTATTGCTGGCTGCAGTTCGAATGTGGTCAGGCTCATTATCACTCGTGAAATACCCTGTATAATAGGTATTTTTTAATTAAAAAAAAATGTTTCTGAAAATATTTCATTATTATTGTTGTTTTAATAGATACTAATTTACAAAATTATATTTTAGCGCAAATTTGGGAGCACTATTTTTGCTACTCATTTATATCAATTCATTTGTGAAAAAAACATTTTTTTTTTTGTTTAAATAGGCTTGAAGTATAACGGAATTATTAAATTGTCTAAAAAATACAGAATGTATACAAAAAAACGCATAATAAGCTCTTCATTACGCTATAGAAAATGTTCCAACAGACCCTAGAACAATAATTAAAATCCTCATTCTTACCACTAAGAAGAAGTAAAATTCAGAAATTTTTTTGTTTATTTCTTAAAAAAATTAAATCGGCGATATAACCCGAAAGACACTAACATCGTTTACTACTTCACATCACCCAAACTGAAAGTTTATTTTAAGAATCATTAAAATCCGATTTTAGTAGTTATAATTTTTATTTCAAGAAAGCCGAAAAATTGATCTGACAACGTAGTTAAAAATCAAATTTTAAATAATGTTACCATTGATTCCTGTTAAAATAATCATTGAAATCCGTCAGTTTAAAAGAGTTTTTAGTTTATTATGCACTAAAAAACACTTACTCGAACAGTGAATTTGCAGTAATAATAAAATGTTTTGAAATTGCAATTGCTGTCCTAAAGCTCAGTTAGCACCAGAAAATAACCAATTAAAGTAGTCATAGTTAAAATTGTAAAATATACCAAGTTTATTTTACAACAATTAAAACCGAGGCGAATATACCGAAATATTCACCATGTTGCCAATTTTACCGTTCAGTTTTGGGCTAATAACTTTGTTAAATTTAATAATAGATTTTTTTACACATTTTTAAAGGTGTTTGGGAAGATTTCCTACACCATACTTACGAGTATGCGTCATTTTGTATACACGCTGTATTAACCTAGAAGTGTTTGATTTGGGAACTTAAGACATTTTTTATCGTCTCTCACTAAATGAAGCACTAAAATAAAATAAACTAAATAAAATCCTTCAAATAATCCGCCGAAAAATTTTGAAAAAAATCAATCAAAACTCTTTTACATGAAACATTTTGACAGTGAATAAGATTCCAAATATACAGATTAGTGTTTCAAAACAATGAAACATTAACAATGAAAAATTCATATTTCTTAATTTAATTTGTTGAGCTGCTCTGGAATTTTTATTCTACAGCTTGTAATAATTATTTTTTTCTGTCCTCATTACTTATGTTGTAGCATTTTGAAGCAATAAAGAAATACTTATTACAGCTTCAAGTGTAAGCTGAAAATAATTTTAACAAACACTCTTTTTTATACCATGCACTAACAACAATGGAACCTACAACACTAACAAAAACAATATTTCAAAATTCAAAATGTGTAGATAAAATTTTTAATTTTGTTTCATAGCTTGTTTAATTTTAATTTTTCGCCAGTATTATTGAAACACTTTACGAACTAGAAAGTAAAATCCAAATTTCTCAATTAATGCGTAAGTATTTTGTTAAAAATATTTTTAGAAAAAAGTCGTTCTAGAACACTGAAACATGAAGCACTTTGAAGCAAAAACAAAGCCCAAAATAACATTGAAAATTCAAGATTAGAACTTAAACATTCCGCTAAACTGTAATTAAGAATTTATTTTATGTTTCCCCAACATTGAAATATGATGAAGCACTAACTCCTAACAAGAATTCAGTTAGTGCTCCAGTTTCACTCACCTAGGAGTAACTCGATTATTTTGTCACATCCTTCTTGACACGCCCAATGTAGAGGTGTTGAACCTTTATCATCAGGAACATTACAACTGGCACCAGACTCAATCAGCAATTTTGCGATTTCGACAAAATTTCGATGACTTGCTAGATGAAGGGACGTCAAACCCATATTATCCTGAGCATCAACATTTGAACCTAACTCTAAAAGTAGTTTCACGATTGATTCATGCCCCTCATGACTTGCCAAATGCAACGGAGTGATATTTTTATGATCAACAATCGTAACTTTTGCCCCAGATTCGATCAGTAACTTTACAATTTGTTCGTGTCCTTTTTCACAAGCCGAATGAAGAGGAGACCAACCATCATTCGTAGCTACAAGAGGTGATCCAAGTTGTAACAACATTCTAGCAATATCTTCGTGTCCATAATGACAAGCCAGAAACAAAGGTGTTGTTACACTTGTGTGCCCATCAAAAGATGCCCCCAAGTCTAGTAGTAACTTGACAATGTTAGTGTAACCTTTATAACATGCCACATGTAACGCAGTGTAACCCTTGTTACTAGCAATGTTAACATCAATATTTTCCAATAAAGTTACAATCGATTCGTGGCCATTCAAACATGCCAGATGCAATGGGGTCCAACCATCATTTGTAGTAACACAGTTGGCACCATATTGTAGTAACAATTTGGCCGATTCGTAGTAACCTTCTTTACAAGACTTGTGTAATGCCGTTTCACCACTAGTACCAACATCATTTATCATTTTTTGGTAACCCTGAATTGTCAAAAGTCTCTTCAAGAAATTCTCGTGACACACACAAAGATGTAAATACGACGACTGGTTTTTTATTTCGACAAGAGGAAACGTTTCGTACAAATCAAATACATCTTCATACCCATTTTCCGCAGCATAATAAAACAGACTTGCCATACTTGCGTCCAAATTTGTAAATTTGTGTTTCAGTTTTTGTAAAATAATTGTTTTGGTGAATAAACAGTTGGCAGCTTCGGCATATTTCATTGGTGAAAAATTAAATAACGTGTCACGATGTGAAAAATCCAACTTTTCTAATAAATAAATTATCATTTCCTTGTAAATCGGATCTTCTATCAAAACTTCAGTGGTTTCGTTTTTAGAAATCATATAAATTAAACCTTCTTTTTCTACATCAAATCTTGGATAAGTTTGTCCCCAAGAACATGCCAAATGTAAGACATTTCGTCCACCTAAGTCTTTGAAGTCTTCCAGTTTTTCAAATTTTTTCAACGTTTCAAGATTTCGGTAAAAAACAGCCATGTGAGGAATTGAGTTGTGTGCGAGCAACAAATCGAAAAAATATCTTATATTTTTGTTTTCTTCTTTGAAAAGGATGTCACTAGATACTTTGGCGAAATTTTTGGCAAAGTAAGAGGCTACGAAAAATTCAGCAATCGAAGTGTGGAAAAAAATTGGTAGCATTTCGTCCGTTACTTCAATAATAATACCAATGGGGTCACCTTCTAGTTTTATTTTTTTCAAAAAGTCATCATTTTCACATTTGAAAATGAGTAGTTTCAAAGCAGCAAGTTGGTAGTCACGTTGGAGGTAATTTCTGTGTTCCATTAAAACGCAATCTGAAGACAAAACACCGAATTTTTGGTGGTAGTAGATGACAAATTTTTGCTCGATCCAATATTCGTACAAATCTGAAACGTTAAATAAATCTTTGGAAAGTTTCAAATATTTGTCAATATCCTCTCTGAAGACTTCAGTCAGCATGTACATATGTAAAGGATTGTCTAAAATATCCTGATTTATGTAAATTTGGATTTTGGCCACTTCGGTTTCAATGTCTCGCTCTGGATACTTCTCTTTCAAACGTTTACCAATGTATGACTTTTTTTGGTCATCACTAAGTGGCATTATCGTTCGTGACAAAACGTTTAATTTATCTTCTAAATAATTTTGTAAATGAGGCCGGGAAGTAATCCACACTGATAAGTTTTCTTTAGTGATAAAATCACAAATTAGTGTCACTTGTTGCAAGGGAATTTCATCCAAAGCGTCTAAAATGTAAACAACTCGATTCTTCTTCATTAAAACTTGAAGAATTTTTTTATCGGAATCTTTGTTAACTTCGTTCAAAATGAACTCTTCAAAAGTGTGTCTATTAAACACGTCCAAACGTCGAAAGTGTGCAGGGTGCAAAATAATGGTCCACAATTTTGGTGAAATTTGATTCTTCAAATTCTTCACAAAAATTGATTTGCCAATGCCAGGCTCGCCAATTACCAAGTTGACACTATTTGAAATATTGTCAAAAATGTGAGATTCGTCGATAAACCCATTTTTCACACAAAAATGTTTAAGCGCTGTTACATTTTTATGACTCTTCAACCACTCCAAGTTCCCATCTTCAGTAATGTTAAAGTGGTGGATGGTTTCTGCCTCATTCATTTGCTTGATTTTGTCAAACTCATCTTTAAGACATTCATCTTCGAAAAGAATTAGTTTTGGTTTAAAATCATTTTGTTCCTTGCCATAACAAAAGTCATTTAAATAATCCAAGCCTTTAACCACGTTAAATTTTTTTAAAAGAGTTCTAATTTTCTCCAATTTCTTCTTACAATTAATAACAGCCAAAATTTTCGAGTCCATTTTATGCAAATAATCAAAATGTATGATATTTTTGGTCAAAGACCGTTCAATATATGGCACAGGAAGTGTCTCTTTTTTGCCCCCAAAAGAATAAGTCCCATGTAACATTTCCAGTAACTCATCTGTTGTTAAAACTTGTTTCATTTCGTCCAACAATGTGTCCAAAGACTGTTCTTCCTTCTCTTGAAAACAACACTTGAAGTTGAAAATTTCTGATCCTGGGCTCAAATCAGACAAATTTCGAAAAATTGTGCGATTTAGTGGTAAAATTGGGTCATTTCCAAATACAATAAACTTGTTTTCGCACATTTGGATAATTTTAGAAGTGGTCTTACTCTCAAGTACCATTAGGGGAGTTTCGTCTATTAACCATAGAAGTTTGGTACAATCGTCATGACATAATTGATATTTATTTCGTATTCTATTGACTTCATTATTTTCTTCAAGTTTTTTGTAAGCATCACCCCATATTTCTTTAACTTGGTCATAGGATTCTGTTCGAAAAACTGTGATTTGAAAATTTGCTATTGCTTGTCTGAATAAAATCATTTCATCGGTAACCAAACACTGAGAATATGGTTTAATAAATGGAGACAAGACGTTGAGGGCAATTACACGTTTCATCAACTCCTTACTTAACTTTTCTTTATTTCCTTCTAAAAGACTCCATCTAGAAATAAATTGAAGATATGTATAAAAATGATCCGAGGGGCAATAAAATGTGTTTTGAAATTCCTCTAGAGTGATTTTTTCAATGGCACTAACGCTTGCTTGATTTGTGAGTAAGATAAAATTTTTGAAAAAACTCACAGTTTCCGGATTTTCGTCTAGTGATTCAAACTTGAAACACTTTCCGTTACTTCTGGAAGTGTTTAGTAATTGATCGACATTTTCTTCGACAATTTTTACAGAAATATTTTCGATGGTGAAACACAGTTCTTGGGTCAAGTCCAGTTTGCGATTTGTGAAGAGAATTAATTTATGAGAGTTGCTAAATTGCTCGATTTGTTTGTATGATTTCAGGTATTTTTTCAAACTGAAGTCTCCTTTGTCGGACCAGAGGCTTTGCACCGGTAAGATTTTGCTATCATTACTGTATTTGATTTGTAAAGCTTTTTTCACCTCAGTTTTACCACATTTTAATTCAATGACGATGTCGTCAAAATCACCAAACTTGTCATCGTTTGAAGATATCATGAAATCGTTGATGGAGTCGTCCGTTACCATTTTTAGAACCAAACGAGCCAAGTTGAGGTCTTCGTACTTTTTGCCAAAGTCAGTGGTACCAGGACGTTTTTTAAACTTCTACAAAAATTGCAGAGTATAAATTACAAAAATATTTCCAAACACTTACATTAGTTGCCATTTTTTACTCATAAAAATCTGTTGGTATTACAGCTTTCTGAAAATACACAAATTTTAATTGATAAAAAAATAGTTAATATCTACTTTTACATTTGTCAAAATTAAAGTAACGTTTTTCAGTGTGAGTGTATTCAATTCAATTCAATTCAATGTATTTAGCCTCGTATGTACAACACATCTTGGTACGTCAACAAACAGTATTAAAATTAATTAAAGTTAAAAACATTAAAATACATTAAAAAAAAAACATCAGACAAATTTTTTTATTTACAAAATTTAATTATTGAGATATTCTTCAATGGAATAGAAACAATATTTTAATAAATGTGAATGCAGCATCTTTTTAAATGGCGGTGAAGATCTGATTTCTTTAATACCTGGAGAAAGGTTATTAAAAATTTTAATACCTGATACAAGGGGACCCTTGTCTGTGATTTTGAGGCGATGTGCTGGCATAACTAAATCACTAATATGTCTTGTATTGAAGTTATGGTAATCTAGATGTGTTTTTAAAAGGCCACGGTTTTTATTAATGTAGCATGCAATTTCGTAGATGTAAAGGGACTGTAATGGAAGAATTTTTAAGGATTTAAAAATCGGTTTACAAGAATCGAGAGAACGAGCTCCTATTAAACTAGGGACAATCTTTTTTTTTGTAATGTGAATACTTGCTTTGACTGTGGTGAATTTCCCCAAATTATTAAACCATACCTTATTACTGATTCTATTTCCGCAAAATAAAAAGATCGTAACGTCTCCGAATTACAAATTTCACGCAGTCCCCTAACTTGATAACATAATCTACTCAATTTATTGACTAAAATACTACAGTGTTCTTCCCATTTTAAATTATATTCAAATATAAGACCTAAGAATTTTTTATTTTGATTTCTAGACTTAAAAAAAATTATGAATTTTGTTTTTTCCAAATTTAAGCATAAACCGTTTTGTATAAACCACTCAAATAGTCTCGAACATACATTTTCTGCTTCTATAAGAGCATTGTTTAGTGTGTTGCCACAACATAAAACTGTAATATCATCTGCATGCATGATTGTTAAAGCATTTACTATTATAAGGATTAAGTCATTTATAAAGATCTTAAATAGCGTTGGTGCTAAAATAGTACCTTGAGGTAAGCCTACATTATTCGTAATAGGTTTTGAAAGATGTTTATCCGTGATTCCGTTTGATTTTATGTTACAAATTTCTACGGATTGAGAGCGGCCTTTCAAATATGATTCAAACCAGTTTAAAATTACACCCCTAAAACCATACTTCTCTAATTTATACAATAACAAATTTTTTCTTCTAAAATGTATGATACATTATTATAGAAGGTTAATAACGCGTCGGTTGTCGATTTATTTTTGGTGAAACCATATTGCTGCTTCCTGATTAAAAAGTGTTTATCTAAAAAGTTATTGACTCTGTTTAACATAGCGGTCTCTAATATTTTTGATATAAATGATGACAATGATATGGGGCGATAGTTGTTTACACAAGCTTTATCCTCATTCTTAAGAACAAGAATTATTTTGACAATTTTAAAATTATCTGGGAACCTACCGGAAGTTAGTGATTCGTTAATTAAGTCGGTGAGCGGCGTTATAATGTCATCTATACATTGTTTTATTAAAAAACCGGAAATTTCAAGACCAGGAGAGGCAGAACCATTAAGTTTACCTACCAAAATTTTAATTTCCGTCTTAGTAAAACTAATCAAACCCATACTAAAGGGATTACTCTTTATTAAACAGTCATTTTTGTCAATGTTGATATTATTTACAACTTTTTTTGGTGCATCAGAGAAATATTTATTAAAATAGTTGGCTACATTTTCACTGTCACTAATTTCTAAGTCATCCACTTTAAGATTGATGTTTACCTTTATTTGTTGTGTTCCAGTGACTTCCTTTAATATTTGCCAAGCTGTTTTTTTGTTTATTAACTGAGTTAGCTAATAATCGGTCATTGTAGTTTCTCTTTGCTTCTGATACAATTTTTTTAATTCATTTTTACGTAACTCTAGTAAAGGTTTTAATTCGGAGTAATTTTTTGTTAAAATAGTCAAGTCATTTAAATTATTGAAAGCTTTCAAAGTGTCGCTAGTCATCCAATTGTAATAGTTTTTATTTGTGCAAACCTTTTTTAATGGGAATGATTCTATTAAAATAACTAAGTACAAAAATTGAATAAATTTGGAATATTAAATTTTAAATTTCCCGCTTGTAAGATTGTAGTTTATTGAGGTTATTTTTCACAATAATTGATTACTGTGTATTAGTAAAAAGACAAAAAGAAACATGCACAGGTAGCAATAAATACAAATTCTTAAAGTATTAAATTAATTATTACCTTAGAAATTCAATATGTAGACAAACAAAAATTTGTAGTAGCGATTTTCCACAAGGACATTTGAAATGATAATTGATTCATTGAAGAACTACAACAATGAATAAAACAAAATGTGCAATAATGTAGATTTTATTCCTGGTGGATTATTATCAAGGTTATACAGCAGCTCAGATGATGCAATATTGCGATACTGAACAGCATAGTTGATCAATATTAATACCATTGTAACACGCTAATAATAATTACATTAATATGTTTTGAAAAACTTCAAATTAGCGCAGGGATTCATTAAACAGCTACAAAGATATTTTTTAATGTTTTATAATTTTCTAAATTGTAGTACAAATTGTCAGTTATTTTTATTCAAGGAGAGGAATGTTGCTAAAATTAAAGATTGAAATTCTGCAACCCACAATACCGTTTATACTATCTGAATAATATTAATAGTTATTTATATTACAAGGGAGGAAAGTGTCTTTTCCATCTGCGAGAGGAAAAGATACACAGTGTAATACATATAATTTTTCCTAACGACCGAGCAAAAAAAGTTTCAAAAATAATATTTTCTCTTGAAATTCCAATTTCGCCATTAAGTCTAGCAGCATATTTCTCCGTTTTTCGGGAGGAAATAAAATTTTTACCTCCCTGAGAGGTTACATTGTACAGGGTGTTTCGGCTAAACACTACATTAGAAGTATTGGGAGTTCTAACAGTGATATTTATCTAAAATTTTGATTACGGCCATAATCGTTTAGATCCTGCTCAACGTAAATATTTTCAAGATGTAGCACTTCCGGTTACACCGGAAATGGGTATCAACTTTGTTATTTTAAATGGAATTTTATGTTTTCGGATTACTGAAGTGATTTTGAGAGAGTTTTTACCAGACTTCCCTATACCTAAATTTAACCGATTTTGAAATACATTTTTGTTTTTTTTTTAATTTGTATCTTCCTCTCTAAAAATCGATAACTCTACCATTTTTAATTATTTACAAATTGTATTTGAGCATATGAAAAAGAAAGGTTAGATCTTTTTTTTTTGTGTATTTTATAATTGGAAAAATAATTAACAAATCTCCAAAATTTAAGGTTGCGTTTGGGAAACTTCAAATACCCGTACTTTTTTTCAAATGGAAGGCCCCATTTTATTGCACTAAATAAAAATGAATTTAATCCTGCATCGATTTGTATCAACATTCCCTATACCTAAATTTAATAATTTCCAAGTTATTTTAACTTTTTTTACAATGAAAGATCATTACTATCCATGGTAGTTTTTGCATAGTTTACCATGGAAATTTCACACTGTAAAAACGCCAAGTTTTTTTTCATAATTGAGTTAGTCTTTTCGTAGATACAAATTAAAATTATTAATTTAAATTTGAATAACTTCCTAAACGTAACCTTACATTCTGGCGGTTTGTTAATTATATTTCCAATTATGAATACATCAAAAGAAAGATCTAACCTTTTTCTCTCGTATCCCCAAATACGGTTTCTACATAATAAAAAATGGTAGAGTTATCGATTTTTGAATAGGAAGATTCAAATCCACAAAATTTTAAATATTTCGAAAACGGTTAAATTTAGGTATAGGAAAGTCTGATAAAAACTCTCTCAAAATCACTTGAGTAATCCAAAAACGCAATAAAAAAACATAACTTTCTATTTAAAATAGAATAGAATAGAATAGAAAAGAATATATAATTATGTTAAACACCTTGTATGCTGTTCAGTATCGCAATAAGGAAGTTGATATCCACTTCCGGTCTAACAGGAAGTGCCGTCATCTTGAAAATATTTTTATTGAGCCGAACCTAACCGATTATCGCTATAAACAAAATTTTAGATAAATATCATTGTTAGAACTCCTATTACTTCTAATGTGGGGTTTATCCGGAACAGCCTGTATATTGCTGCTAAGGCCATTTTAAAAAAAAAAAACATAAAAAATTATGGAATGGACGAATGAAATGGGACGACAAATAGCCATTGATTTTTTTATGTTTGGCAACACTGATTCTCATAATTAATCAGACACAAGTGTATGTAAAATTACGAATATAAATAACAATGTTTAATTAAAAAAATCGTTGAAGTAAATTATTGTTGGGGAAGAAGGTAATAGAAAGTTAAAATATATTTTTCATTTGTTTATTATTTTAGTACAAAAGCGCAAGGCAAATCACTAAATACAAACTTTATAAAAGAAATTTTATATAAAATAAAAAATTTTAGCAAGTCATTACAAACGCGCTGGGTTTTTGTTTTTTTTTTTTTCGTTTTTTTTATTCATCCCGGCAAAAATGTCGCCTATTCTGATTATAAATTCAAATAATCACAGAATGTTTATTGTTCGCTTTCTTGTTTCACGATTTTTAATCTCAAATATTCTTCCACTTTCATTTTTCTATTTTTTTTCGCGATAGTCGATGCGTCATTTCCCCAATTATCCACTTCTTTAATATTGGCTCCATTTTCGACCAACAGTTGGACAACGTACAAGTGTCCCATTTTGGCGGCTGCATGGAGGGGTGTGTACCCATGTTGATTTTTGACGTTCACGTCAGCTCCAAGACTCAATAAAAGAGCCACCATTTCCAAATTTCCTGTCCACGAAGCTGAAGTGAGTGGCGAAAATCCTTCATTATTAGGGATGTGAATATCAGCCCCCTCCGATATCAAAAATCTAGCTATTTGGTTGTGGCCCTGCCATATAGCCCCGTTCACAGGAGTAAATCCATCTGAAGTTTTGGCGTTTAAATCCGCCCCATTTTTGATTAAAAATTTGACAATGTCAAAGTGTCCTCGCCAGGTGCTGCTGTGTAAAGCTGTAAAATTTGAGACACTGGTGGAGTTGACGTCGGCTCCATCTTCAAGAAGTTTTTTCACGCCGTCAAAATCACCCCAGAATGCGTGGCCGTTAAGCTGAGTGTAACCCCAGGGATTGAGGGCGTTTATGTCACAGTGGGGTTCCTAAATTAGATAAATTAATAATTAATTGTTCTGGTTCATATACAGGGTGTTTAAAAAACGCCGCACTAAAAGTATGGTACAGTGTCTAGAAGCATTTGGTGAGTGAGGGAAAAATATTTTAAAAATTCTTCATTTTTATTTTTCTGTACAGTGGAGGTTTTGTGTAAGAATTTTCAAACGTTGTTAGTTGTACTTATTATTACTAAATAACACTCAAAATGCAATTAAAATATGCAGAATGGAAGGTAGATTAATAAACTTTATTAACGCAATGTCTGTGGTCTTTCATTCAATGCTAAGTTTATATATAATAATGCAAAAATTGATGCGGCAACGTTTAAAAGTGACAATGAATTCAAGAGTTGAATTATTCCATGGCAATGCCAGCGTTAGTCACCCTGTTGAGATTTTTTCAGTGGCGTTCCCAACAGCAGGAGGTAATTTGAGAAATTTGGACATCTCAGCCATTTTAGTTTCAAATGGCTAGTTTGTGAGTGGTTTCAGCGTGATTTTTCTCCGTGTGTAGTTGTTGTTTTATTGTTTTTGTTTGTTTGTCATTGTTGAACTTTTTGCAAAAGTGAGTGGAAAATGCCAAGCTGCAAAGCTTTTTTTTTCACACAACACGTGTGCAGACGCACCAAAGATGCTACATATTCCACGGCAGAAAATTAAATGACATTTCACAGGTCATCTTCAGATTGTTGACAATCTGAATATACAGGGTGTTTGAGGATTGCGAGCAAATATTTTAACCACTAATAGAACTCGACAAAAGAAGCAACTTTCGTTATTCCAACTTTTGTCGAAAGCAGTCATTTTTGAGTTAAAATCAAAAATAAATTGAGGCTGAAAACCCGTCCCCGCCTATGTCTTAATACGATGTTTACGTTCATTCATAAGAAAAGACTTTGGAACGTAAACAGCGTAAAGACAAAAAAAATTATCGCTACATTAGAGTAGATCAGTGTCAATGTTAGTAGGTCAATACTTGCTCTTATAAAAAATTGCTCGAAATGTAGTCATTTGTTGGCAATACACACTTCTTGTACTCTTCGGCAGAGGGAAGCTTGCGTTCGCACACACAGCCCTTCGAAGGTATAAATTTGAGCTGCGTACACTAATTCACTAATTGTTTCATGTGAACCCCCCAAAAAACACACGTATTTAAATCTGGTGACCGCGGTGGTCATTGGCGACCTATCCATCTCTAGGGAAAATGATTGTTCAATCCATTGGTAACGACTTTGGGATAATCTGATGGAGCTCCACTTGTAAATACCGCATGTGTCGCCAAGGGCACGTCCAGATCGGACAACACATTTTCCAAAAAATCCAGATAAAAGGCATTAGTTAAACGTTGAGGTAATAAGTGGGGTATAAAATTTGGTGATCTTCAATGATCTCTGCCCAAACATTTAGTGAAAATCGGTCTTGGAAGTGGGATGTCCGTACACTAGTTAATTTGGCGTTTGAGTAGTTGGCCATAATGACTTGATTGACAATTTGATTTCAAATCGATTTGCATAATTCACCCGAAAGCGCATTAACCACTAACTAAACTGACAAGTGATAATTTTTTTGGACAAAAAGTTTCCTTTTTTCTGTATAAAAACTTTCACAGTCAACATTCAATGCAATTTATTTTCATTGATATTTTTACTTCCAACTAACAATGACAGATACACTGAACGGCTCGTGAAAATCAAAGGGGGGAAATTGCAAAAATAAAATTTGGATACGGAATTTGTTTGGTCTTCGATTCGACTTTTTATAACAAATGCTCTTAGTGGTTAAAATATTTGCTCCCAATTCACAAACACCCTGTATATTTTGAATGACAATTCAAAAGTTTAATACACAATGAGCGAATTTTAAATGTCCCCTGTGTATAATACGCAGTGAAACAATTATTTTTAGGGAAACGTTTCTAGTGGCGTTTCTAAAGAAAAAAAATTGAAAATAGTTTTACTACGCCACTGGAAAGGCACTTGTTGCGCTCTGTATTTAGTACCACTTTATAGCAGTGCGCATTTGCGCGGCATTTCCACTTTTTTTGAAATAGCGCTTCCTTCTGTTAATAGTACCTCCATGAAAACAACTTATTTCAATAACTAATCAAAATCGACCAATAAAAGTTTATCTTAAAAACATTGTAATAAAAAGCTAAAATATGCCAAGAAACATATGGTGTTTCATTTAAAAAAACATTTTTAAGTTTAAGTAGTTAAGTTTAAGTAGTTTAAGTTTAGTTTAAGTTTAAGTAGGTATTGGCTCATTTTTGGGACACGCTGTATAATTGAACATAATTTTAGGCAATGCACTAGGTTCTTCATCTCAGCCCCAGTCTTCTAAGTTAGCTCAGTTATTATTTAAGTGAGAATTTTGATATTTTGAGACTTTATTTATATTCTAGAACGCATTTCAGGAAAACATTTTTGATTACATAGGGTGGCCCAAAAATAAGTTACAATGCAACCTTATGTTTTTTTTTAAATAAAACACCATACGTTTCTTGGCATTTTTGAATGTAGCTTTTAATTTCAATGTTATTAAGCTAAACTTTTATTAGGCTTAGTTTTTGAATTAAGTTAGATAGTTTGTATTGTAAATAGGAAATTACGAACTTTAAGACTATAACATTTTTTTAATGTATGAATAGCAGTTGAAAAGTTAAAAAAAATGTCGAAGTTTGTTAAAAGATAAATATGTAATATAAAAATGTAAATAAAACACATTTTTTATTTTTACATCTCATAGAGTGAAAAATTGTCTATCTAAAAAAATAACTTTTGGTGTTTAGAATTGATAAAGTAAAAGATATTTAATTTTAAACGTTAATTGTAGCAACAATGCCTATCATTAAAATGAGCATTGGTGATAACAAGGCAACCATTTCACCACTGATCACTTATTTGGGATTCGTCCAGAAATTGTAAAAGCCGACATAAATATTTAAATTCGAATTGTTTTATTGTAAAAATAAAGAATAATGGATTCAGTGTACCATAAAAGTGATTATTGAGTGATATTTTTTCCATCTCTAGTGCAAATGTGCACTTTTTAGCTAATGAAATAATGATATTTTTTTTTTAATGTTTATAGGTAAATATCTCTTTAGTTATTAATTGTAGACACTTAAAAGTAAATGTTTTTGGAAAGATTATTTAATGATCTCTTAGATGTAAAAACAAAAAATAGGGAGTTCTATTTAAATTTTCTATATTATTTAACTTTTAACGAACTTCGACATTTTTTTAAGTTTTCGACTGCAATACCTTAAAAAAATGTTATAGTCTTAAGTTAATACTTTCCTCTTTACAGTGGAAATTTTGTTTTCCAGTTGTCTTAACTTTTAAAAAAGGATGTTTTCGCCAAAACAAAAAACAACTTAATTCAAAAAAGCAAAATCGACTAATAGAAGTTTAGCTTAAAAAAACATTGAAATTAAAAGCTACATTCAACAATGCCAAGAAACATAAACATATGTGTTTTATTTAAAAAAACATGAGTTTTGGGCCAGCCTGCGCTCTACAATATAAATAAAGTCTAGAAAATATCAAAATTCCCATAATAACTGAGCTAGAGGAGACCAGGGCTGAGATGAAAATCCCTGTATACGAGTATCTATCAATTTCCGATATATTTTTTTTTAATTTTAATATTTAAAGGTCAATAATAATGGACTTTACCAAACTGCTGATAGATTCTGTATTTAAGCGATAAAAACATATTACAACTATTTAGGCGTTTTGTTTATTAAAAAACAATAGGAATAAAATGTATTAAATATAAAGTTAGCCACTGACTCAGCACTCAACGGAAGTCGCGACTTGCGAGATATCAATGACATTGTTTGTAAAACACTGACCGGATATTCGATATCTTGAAAGTAACAAAGGAATGTCAATTTTTTTGGAAGATATTTTCCATATTTGAAATTTATGGAAACGCAAAATATGTGTAGTGTAAAGAGGTTAAAGACAACACTAATAAAGAAATACAAAAAAGAACACTGTAACAAGTCTATACAGGGTGTTTGCAGAATGCGTGCATATGTTCTACCACTAATAGAACTRATCAAGAGAAACAACTTTTCTGTTTCCAGCTTTTGCCAAAAACACGTCATTTCTGAATTAAAATTAAAAATAAGTTGAGGCTCAAAACCCGTCTCCGCCTATGTCTAAAAACTATGGAACGTAAACAGCATAAGAACAAAAAAAAATGTCGCTACATTAAGGCAGGTCAGTGTCAGTGGGTCAATATAAAAAAGTGCTCCAAATGTGGTTTTTCGTTGGCAATGCACACTTGTACTCTTCGAGCTAGTTTGCACACACAGCCCGTAATTTGCGCTGTGTACATACACTAATTCACTAATTGGCAAGTAAAAACCATGAGAGGAAAATTGCAAAAAAATTTTTTGGATTCGAAACTTGTTTGGTTCAAATTGCCTTCTCGCAATCCGCAAACACTCTGTATTCAATATCCAGTTATGTTTTTTTTTAATTATACAAACCGTTTTTCCGTAAACACGACGCATTCCGATGAAAGCAAGATCCGAAACTGGTCGCCATAAATAAATAAATTTTTACAAATACGCTTTGACCACACTCTTACGATTTTGAAAAGATGAAATGGAAAAATAATTTAAAATTACTTACACCAATCTCAAACGTACTTATTTCATTAGAGACACTCATAGTTTCGAAAGACGAAACAAACTGGTTTAGTGATTTGTGGTTTCATTTGGAAATGTCAGCAAAGTTCAGATGTTCTATGGTTATGACTCATTTGATAAAATAAGTTACGTCGGCGCAGTGTACAGAATGTTCCAAGTTTTAGTTCCGACACAAAAATAATTAATAAAAAAAATTGATAGTGCAAACGATTGAGGAGACTTCAATTTGATGCTTTAATATTGCTCAAAATTTTTAGCGTGTGTCAGTGAGACCCTAAAAATCAAATTTGGAATATATTTTTTTTAATTAAGTAATTGAAATTTTTTCTACGAGTACATGATAAACTTCCTTGATTTTTTCTAATAGTATCTGTGAAAATTGAATAATGTAAAAGTTGATAGATTTTAAGTACTTAATTAACATTTTAAAGTTTGAGATGATGTGATGCAAATGCATTGACAGGCTTCACTATAGACCGGGTACGTCATAAATGTCATTGCGGACCTTTTTCTTTTGTCAAGAGATTCTGGCCTGATCACCAATTATCGCAAACTCCCCCCATAAATTACTCCAAGTTTCTCATTTTCAATATTAAAATGTTAATTATTCAACAAAACCTTTCAACTTTTTCATTATTCTATTTTCACAAATATCACAGAAAAAAAATCAAATTTTTTTTTTCATGTAAGTAGAAAATATTTCAGTTCATTTTTATTTCAGTTCTTTTTTCATCAATTAGAAATATTTATTGGTGCCCTGTATATCGAGAAGAAATTTATGTAAATATTTATTGCATTGCCTATTTTATATGCAAATGTAGAGATCAATGAACTTTTTTAATTCATCGTCAGGCTCAGGCACGACCCAAATAAAATCAAAACTTTTCAACATAGTTATCCTAAATTCTCTTTTAATTGGGTAAAATATAAACAAAAAGTATGTAGCCAAGCGAAACGTTTTCGTTTAAACTAGGTACGTCTCTTTACTTCCAGAAGAAAAATGACGAAAGATAGAAGTTATAAAAATACTCTTAAAAATATAATCGTTGTTTGAGAATGAAATTTTTGGAAATTTTGGTAGTTACTCAGTATGTATTTACGATTTTTTATACTATGAAATTTTTTTCTACAAAATTTGAATTCTAATTCTTGGATAATAGTCTTTGTCAAAAACAATTTTCATAGTAGTTTGCTATTGAACACTTCAAATAAAACAAAAATCACAACACTTTACTCTTGAAAAATAAGTGGAGGCTCTAGCCCAATATTCTAATAGTTTTTTATCACTTATAAAGCTTAAAAAAAATAATTCAAATTTTGCTTAATTTGGTCGAAGATGGTATTACCTACAGAACAAAGGATGAATAAAACCATTAAATTCGTCGCGACGTTCCAATACCTTTATTGTATCTTCCTCAGGCTATAATTTTGGCATTTAGTTTTTATACATGGTTGGAAAATTTGACCTTACCGAAGAGTTTTCGTTGGCTGAACGTTGGAGGCTTGGCACAGTCAAAGAAGAACTGAGACTAGCCAGCTGTTATGCGCATGACGGATGTTTTTGGAAAATTCAACAACCAACAAAATTAAAATTTGTTGTAAACGGACAAAAAAAATATTTTTTATCTTTTAGTAGGCACTTTTTTTTAAATAAAAGCTTATATTAAAAAAATACTATTACATACATATTTTTTTCACTTTTTAGTCTTTACTTATTGTTTTGTGAAATATGTAATTTTAAATTTTAAACACAACGAAAATTTTGATTAATTTTTTTCAAAAACATAGTGATGTTGAGATGCTGAGATGGGGAGTTAGTATTACCCAAAAACCCTAACAACCTGTAGGGTTTTTTTCTGTTCTATTGAATAGAGCTGCTTCCATTTTGTATTTCAATTAGGGCCGAGATATTGATAATAATTGTTAATAACTGTTTATAAATTGTTAATTAAAGTAAATATTATTGTATCGTCACGGAAGTTAAGTGTGTATGCAAAATTTCAGTTTGTTCGGACGACAGGAACTTCGACTCGCAAAATTTCGTGCAGACACAAACATACTAAGATTAAATAAAACCTCATAATAATAAAAATACCGTTCAAAATCATTTGTCACCGATCAGATAAACAAACGATGAAGGTTAAGAAGGAAACAGGTAGCTGTTTATTTCCTGTTTTTATCCATTTATAACCTAGTACATAGCCCTATGTATACTTTAAAAAAAAACGGGTCAACTTCAATGTTACTATTAGTCCGGTCAAAATAGACATTTCAAATAACAAAAATTCCGACAGAGCTAAATTTTGGTGGAGACCTTGGGTACAGCATTAGAAATAAAGTGTCAAAAGTCCCCATCGATCCCATGTGTGCTAAAAAAGTTCTTCGGGGTCAAAGGTAAAAATTTGAGGTTTTTTGGATTTCTTTCGAAAACGGTAAGTTTTATCAAAAAGTAGTCGAGACAAAAAAGATAGATCTTAAAATTATCTACAAAAAAGGTCTTTATACTTTTTTTTCTAAGAATTACCATTGCTGAGATATCGCGATTTTAAAAGTTGAAGGAGTCACTTTCTATATAATATGCACATACAGAGTGCGCCAGAACTCGCTCTCCCAAAAAAAATGCTATGTAGGGTAAGGTACCAGGAACATGGAAAAAATTAAAAAAAAAATGTATCTATAAAAATTTCGAAGTTATGAGAGTTTAAATTTTAAACTTTGCCTTTATTTCTTTCTGTTGGAAAAACAATTTTCCAAGTTTTTTTGCTACAGCTACTAGCTCTTTGTTATTTGACCACTATTTTTATGACTAATTTGACCGGACTATATGGCAATTACGATTAGCTGTTAGTCTAGCCATAGACAACCAATTTTACAAAGGCTTTAATATCGACAAATAAAAGATAATCTCATAAAAACAACAATTAAATATTAATTAAAAAAAAATTAAAACCCATCTAAACATGAAAAATTTAATAATTAAAGCAAGTGTTCAAAATGCTTTCCTTGCAGCTCCAAACAATAACACAAACGATTTTGAAAACCCCGCCACTGCATTCCTGATAAATTCAGGATCTACATTATTACATTCTGTACGAATATGTTTTTTCAGCTCTTTTAAATTTTGCATTGGAACATTAGTATAAATTTTTATTTTTAAATACCCCCAAAGAAAAAAATCGTTAGATGCCAAGTCTGGCGATTGTGGGGGCTATGCGATGCATTTAAATTTCAAGAAAACTGTCCGAGAGAATTCTTGGCGAATTAAACATACGACGATATCTTGTAATAAGAGATTCTCTGAATAACAAAATAAAAGAAGTAGTAAATGCCTAGAAAACGAATGCTGCAAATTTTGTCCGAACTGTAGAGGTAAAAGATCTAAAGTGTCCGAAACATGAGAGCCTCCGGACTATTGGAGTGTCCGATCTAGAGTGTGTCCGAATTGTCGAAGTTGTACTGTATTTAGGTATGTATATCCTTGTTTCTTTCTAACGGATATCTGTTTATCTTATCGGACAAATGACCTTAAACGCTGTTTTAAAGCTTCATAAGAAACCCACCACAAAAAGGAAACTAGATAATAAATTGAGCACAAATTTAACAAAAAAATATTTCCAAAAATTTCGTTTTTGTTTTTTATGAGGAGTCAAGTCTCCCTTTTGCAGAAACCTGCAGAAGTCCCCCATTATTGTCGAATCCCCATATACAGGGTGTTCCGTCTAAAGCCCACATTAGAAGTATTGGGATTTGGAATAATCGTATTTATTTGAAAATTGGCACATAGCCATAAACCATTAAGTCCTCCTAAATGAAAATATTTTCAAGATGGCGGCACTTCCGGTTATACCGGAAGTCGGTTTCAACTTTCTAATTTTTAATGGAAAGGTATATTTTTTACTGCGTTTTTGGATTAATCGGGTTATTTTAAGAGAGTTTTCATCAGCTTTCCCTATACTTAAATTTAGCTATTTTTGAAATATTTGGAGTTTTTCAAAAATTTTTGGATCTGCACCTTCCACTTTAAAAATCGGTAACTCTGCTATTTTTTAAGATTTTGAATTCGTTTTTTTGGCGTTTGAAAGACAAAGCTTACATCCTTTTACTGGTGTTTTCAAATTTTGAAAAAAAAAGTAACATGTCCCAAAATTTTAAGGTTACTTTTGTAATAATTCAAATACTCATAACTCATTTTTTTCAAATGAAATACCCCAATTTTTATTTTACTAAATAGAAGAGAATTTAATTGTGCATTGATCTGTATTAACATTCCCTATACCTAAATTTAATATTTTTTAAGCTATGGACTTTTTGTTAAGACTACAGAAAATTTATTACCAGCCACACCCGTTTTCACATAGTTTGCTATGGAAATCAAAAATCTCAAAATTGTTTCTCAATAAACGTCGACAGTGACTTATTTGACAAATAGTGCCAAAATATGGAGAATCAAAGTTATGCAATTAATTATTATTTCTACCATGCGATCATTATTTAAAGCTAACAAGTGAGAAAAATTTAGTTTTGTTTAATGAACGACATCATAATTATGTTACACTCTCCATAAATACAAAATAAATTAATTAAATCTAAGTTTGAGTAGCTTTGACTCTCCATATTTTGGCACTATTTGTTGAATAATACGTCACTGTCGACGTTTATAGAGAAACAATTTTGAGATTTTTGATTTTCATAGGAAACTATACGAAAACGGATGTGGCCAGTAATAGATTTTCGGCAGTTTTAACAAAAAGTCACCATAGCTTAAAAATTATTAAATTTTGGTATAGGGAATGTTAATACAGATCGATGCAGAATTAAATTCTCTTCCATTTAGTAAAATAAAAATTGCGGTATTTCATTTGGATAAATTGAGTTATGGGTATTTGAATTATTATAAAAGTAACCTTAATATTTTAGGGTTTGTTAATTTTTTTTCAAAATTTGATAACACTAAAAAAAGATCTAAGCTTTCTCTTTCAAACGCCAAAAAAAAACAAATTCAAAATTTTAAAAAATAGCAGACTTACCGATTTTTAAAGTGAAAGGTGCAGATCCAAAATTTTTTAAAAAACTCCAAATATTTAAAAACGGATAAATTTGGGTATAGGGAAATCTGATGAAAACTCTCTTAAAATAACCCGATTAATCCAAAAACGCAGTAAAAAATATAGCTTTCCATTTAAAATAAGAAAGTTCAGACCGACTTCCGGTATAACCGGAAGTGCCGCCATCTTGAAAATATTTTCATTTATGAGAATCTAATGGATTATGGCTATGTACCAATTTTCAAATAAATACGATTTTTTGAACTCCCAATACTTCTAATGTGGGGTTTAGACGGAACACCCTGTATACCTTGATACCTTTTTTCTATGGCACTGATATCTTGATGAAAACGCTCTTGTTTACCACTCTACAGTCCTTAAGTTTTTTGATACGTTCTGCCTTTTTAGACTTTTTATACACTACAAAAGCTAGACATCGTTGCCTCCAGTATTTTGAACTGCTTGCCGCACTATTCACCTTTTCAGCCATGGCCAATGGGAGTGAGAATTGGTGAATTCGGGCATAGTGATACAGTGAATGACTTTTTCTACATGTACCCGTATTTCTCGGTCTAAGTAAAAGTTTTAACTATATCAGCATTGTTCCAGGCAAAGATGACTGTGTTTTATAAAATTTTATAAATTATTTATACTTTTTTTTAAATTTTACATTTTATATTTTTTTTTTATAAAATAGCACTAAAAAGGAAGTGGATTGGATAATAGTTATTTATTATACAAGACGATGAAGAGATTGTTTATCTGCGAGTGTTTCACGAGTAGATAAATAATCTTTATCGTCGTGTGTAATACATTTTTTTCTATAGCAGGATTTAGAAACAATTTCACACAAGCAAGTTTATGTGGGAAAAAATTACTTTCTTGGGAATTATAGTTATTTATACAAGACGATAAAATTAAATTTTATCTTTGAGAGGAAATTAGCGTCGAGGCGTCAGCCGAGCTCGAAAAGATAATGAAAATTTTATTGTCGTGTACAATATAAAATTTTATTCAATACTCACTAATTTTGTAGTCAATTTAGTCGATATTTATAAATGTCAAAGCAAAAATTCAACAATGAAATCTAATGTCAAAGATCGTTAGCAACTAACAACCGCAGATATACAACAATGGATGTATTTTTTATCATCTAGACGAGAAAATTCAATTTCAACATAGAGGATTGAATAAATTCATTTTCTATCCCGTAGTTTGAGGGAACCAAAACTAACACTTTCTGTTTTGGTGTTTTTTAACATCCTTCGCTTCTTTATCATTTTTGTTTGTTTCCACTTTTAATTAATTATATTATTTTAATTTAGGATCCCTTTAGTGACATAAACGCCCTCAACCCTTGGGGTTTCACCAAACTCAATGGCCATGCATTTGGTGGTAATTTCACCGGTGTAAAAGAACTCATCGACAAAGGTGCTGCCGTCAACTCCACCAGCGTGGGCGATTTCACAGCTCTACACAGCAGCACCTGGCAAGGGCACCTCAACATCGTGGAACTATTAGTCAAAAATGGCTCGAATTTAGACGCTCAAAACTACATTGGGTCCACACCCTTGAACGGGGCCATATGGCAGGGCCATAACGAAATCGCTCACTTTTTGATATCGGAGGGGGCTGATATTCACATTCAGAGCAATGATGGATTTGCGCCACTCACTTCAGCTTCTTGGAAGGGAAACGTGGAAATGGTAGCTCTCTTATTGAAACATCGAGCCGATGTTGACGTCAAAAGTCAAAATGGGTACACACACCTCCATGCAGCCGCCAAAATGGGACACTTGTACGTTGTCCAACTGTTGGTTGAAAATGGAGCCAATATTAAAGAAGTGGATAATTGGGGAAATGACGCATTTATCATGGCTTTGATGAATGGAAAAGTTAAAGTAGCTGAATATTTGACGAAGAAAAAAAAGCAAGAAAGAAATAAAAAAGAATAAATAGCCTGAGTAATTAATGAATGGTTCTCTTTGTATAATAGTTGCTTAGCTCAGCATTTTTTAGATTATAGATAGTAGTAGATTGTAAATAAGCTTTTTCGTTACCCGACGTTCTTTATATAAGGTTTGTATCCCTCTTTTGTTACTCGACTTTCTTCATGTAAAGTTCCTGTCGGTAATAAAAGTCGTTTCCGAATTCTGAGTTTTTCTTAAACCAAGTGCTCGCGGCGATAAACAAAATTAAATATGCTAATTGCATATTGCATGCATATTTCGCACATTTAACCAATTTTTACATATTCCTAAGAAATGTGTTTATTATCTGTTTATTTGATTAGAATTTTTGTTGAAATGATAAAACTTTCCCTGAATTAATTTCTTAATTCGTCAGTAAATATGATTGCAAAAATAATTTATATTTATTGGAATTTTTTGCGTCTATTACAAGCAGTAAATTAGGGATTTCCAACTAATATCTCAACAGATGTGGTGGGGTGTGATGTTCGTATCTAAAATTGTTTCATTAAAAAAACACTAGGCGACAAGACTTTTTTAACCAGCATAATTTTTGATACGAGTCTTAAAACACGCCATATGACTTACAATGGTAAAAATAAAAACCTCCAACACGTCACATTTCTAATTAATATTTTTTTTTTCATAAACGTTATTCTAAGGCATTATTTTGTCCGTTACTACTGATTTGTAATCGCAAATCAATTTCTTTTCCGTTTAAACAATTAATATAGTTAATTGTAATTATGTTGGGGTGTTGAGTAAGGTAAATCAAGGTGATATAGTGAACAAAAAAAATGAGTTCTGTAGAACACAAAAAATTGATTACTTAAACAAAATAAAAATATTATTCTTTCATAAAATATATAGGTAACAACTTAACCTCTTAAAGACAAAACAACAATTAAAAAAAAACACTATTTATTTTTATCAAATTTAGCTTACTTTTTCTGCTTTTTACCCCAAATATCACACATTGACTCATATTTTGTACATTCTTCGTGCAACCAAAGTTGGCAGCTAATACATTTTCTTCTATAGCAGATGTTAAACTATTTCTTTATCAACTCTTTTGAGTAGATAAAGTAACACTTTAACAGCAGGCCCAAATTATTCGAAATTTCGAAATTAAAAATTAAACTGACATTTATAAGTCACGCTGTTACGCGGTGCGCTGGTTACTAACAGTGAATAAAGTTACTTTATTCCACTAATGGATAAAGTGGTACTTTATACGCATCTAAATTGTGGAATAAAGTCTCTTTATAGAGTGATTGTGGATAAAATGTTTTAACTTATTATTTTCATTTAAATTTACCAATTTTATCATCCGACTTACACTCAAACGAGTTGAATACAACATATTATTCTTCAAAAATTGTCATTTTTTTTTAATTGTGAATGTGAATCGCCTAAAAATAGTATTTTAAAATACATGTTGCAGAAGGAATCTATTCAAGCACGAATTTGAAATTGCGAAACGAGCCGCGAGCTGAGGAACGAATGAGTGCTTGAAAAACCTTCTGCAACGAGTGTTTTATACTATTTTTTTAAATTTTGCCGCTTTATACCATTTTATAAATTAAAAGACAAAAATTTAATTTTTTTTCTAGGAAATTTTGCGACGGGTGGTGACATTTATGTTGAATAATTTTAAGTGGCTGTGAGAAATAAAAATAATTCTTATTTTCACATTTGAAAGAAAGTCCGTCAATAAAATTATTATTAAGGCACTCAAGTGACGTCACTTAGGTGCTTTAATAGACTTATTCTGACACTGAAATAGAAAAAAATGTTTTTTATTATACCTGCGTCATAATCCTAAATTAAAACATTCTGCAGCGTGCGTAATTTGGCCTTTATAGCACGATGAAATTTTAAAGTTGTCTAGATAAAAAGAAATAGTGAAATGTCTGGACCAATTACAACGTGAAAAAATGTGCTTAACAACGTAAACTAGTAACCGTCTCTACGAAAACGATTCACAAACCACCTTTGATAATTTTATTGTGTAAATTCACATTTTTTCAATTCTCATAAAAGATCGTAAATGGGCAGGTATAATAAAAAATAGAGTATAACACTCGTTTATAAGCGCCTTTAAAACACTTACGACGTTAAAAGCACTCCGCTGACGCGTCGTGCTCTTAAACCCGTCGTGCGTGTTTTAAAGGCTGGCTTATAAACTATGATTATAATATATTATTTTTTGTCTTGTCACAATTATTATCAATAGGTAGGAATAAACAATTATTTTAACCCTGAGACTTGAGGTAACGTCAGAGGCCATCAACCAAAAGAAATCGAGGGCATTTTCATTCGAGGAATTAACGATGATTATTCCAGAGATGCATACAAAATTTTCCCCCCAACAGACTGAATTAATAATATAAAAAAATTATAAATTTGTCAAATAATGTCAAGATATTACTTTATTCAATTGCAATTTTAAAAGTAAAAACGGTATTTCATTTTTATTTTATTCTCGAGGGAATTAAACCGTTACTTTATTTCCTGTTGGAAATAAATATTATATTTTGTTATATTAAATCTCTATTAAAATCACTAAAAATTCTAATAATAATTTGTTTATATAAAAACTAACACGTTTTTTACATTCTTTTGCTACCAAAGGTCCAGTAATTAGGTATGTATTTTTAATGTATCAAATAGATCAATTAATAATTCGAAAGACGTACCAAAAGGCTATCTCTTCAACATTTGTAAACAGCCTTGTTGCTCTCTCGCTACGTATTGGCGTAAGATCGGCCACGCTTGTTTATCTCACTTTAACAAATGCGATTAAAGTAATGCAGAACTAGTGACGTACGGTTGAAAGTGTGTCACGTAGGACATTTGTAATTTCATTTTTAATGGAGAAAACTCTTTTGAGGCTAATGTTTATACCCTTTATATCATCATAACAATCGTAATTCGGGCTCTATAAAAATCATAATGCCAGGGAGAATTTTTGACTTTAGTACCAAAATGTCAAAATCTGTCAAATGTCCTAAACAGCCGGAGGTCATGTCATGTGTTCTTGATTCACACTATCCTCACCAGCAATTCAAAAAAAAATAAATAAACTGTACATACAGGCTGTCCCAGAGCTCCGTATTTCTTCGATTACTCTGACAGTAAAGAAAATAACGAAATGCGGTTTCTTTTGGACGATAGACATTCATTTTTTCTATGATTCAAAAATATTTTCGTCGTTATAGGTAATTCCTATATAGGATGGTGCATTTTTTCTTATGGAACATCCGGTATATTATGCGCTTATTTGAAAAAGTTTTTAATTCTAAGAATACCCATATTATCATTTATGGGCAATTTTATGAAAAAAAGTACCATTTTTGAAAATTCGCAATGGTTTTGCTAGAAAGAAAAAGTGAATAAAAAGAACTGCAACCATTTTTACTGAGTCTGGTCCTAAATTATTATGGTCGAAATTCAATCAAGCTTTAGCAACTACTGCAGACTGTTGACATTCACAAAATATCAATTATCTTATTTTTTTTAAATGAAACACCCTGTATGCTATTACTTTATCGTGTAGAGCTTTTAATAAGCTTTCTAAAAAACCTAGGGTTTGGAGATCTAAACTTTACCTGTTTTATTGTACACCCTTTAAACCTACAAAATTTTAACTTATGCTACTTAGCCTTAAAAATCAAGTAGGTTTACGTTACTTCCTCTTCTAAAAGAGTTAATTTTTTAAAGTTACGTTATCACAATACATCAATCAAGTTTGTTAGAGTTTATTTTTGGCTATGTGCGACAATTTTTAGCAACAGATTTCCTAATCGATAGATTGGGAGGGGAGAACTATTGTCTGGCCACCACGATCTCCAGATTTGACTACAATTGATTTCTTTTTATGTGTGTGTTGAAGAGAAGGTGTATCGAACAAGACCCACCACTCGAAATGACATAAAGGAAAGAATAATTGAAGCCTTTAATGACATCTCTGTTGAAATGCTGAGGGCAATCAAATCTTTCTTTATGCGTAAACTAGACGTCTGTCTGACGGGAAATGTCAGGATTTTTGAATATTTGTTATAGAATTAATTCAATTTTGAAATTTTTGTAATTAAGTTCTTACATTGAATTCAAATTCCAATTAGCGTTTCTTGAGTTTCACTCAGTATTTCAACAACCTGTTTTCTAAATTGATGTATGGTGATAACGTAACTTTCAAAAATTACCCAATTTTTTTAGAAGAGGAAGTAACGCAAACCTACTTGATTTTTAATGCTAAATATAATAATTTATGTAGGTTTAAAAAGGTGTACAATAAAAAAAGGTAAGGTTTAGACCTCCAAACCCTAGGTTTTTTAGAAAGCTTATTAAAAGCTCTACACGATAAAGTAATAACATACAGGGTGTTTCATTAAAAAAAATTAAGATAATTGACATTTTGTGAATGTCAGCAGTCTGCAGTAGTTGCTAAAACTTGATTGAATTTCGACTATAATAATTTAGGACCAGACTCAGTAAAAATGGTTGCAGTTGTTTTTATTCACATTTTCTTTCTAGAAAAACCGTTGCGATTTTTCAAAAATGGTACTTTTTTTCATAAAATTGCCCACAAATTTCATGTTCACAAGTTCATGATAGACCCATAAAACCTGATATAAATATTCTTAGAATTAAAAACTCTTTGAAATAAGCGTATAATATACCAAGTGTTCCATAAGAAAAAATATAATTTTGTTGCGCCACCCTATATAGGAATTACCTATAATGACGAAAATATTTTTGGACCATAGAAAAAATGAATGTCTATCGTCCAAAAGAAACCGCATTTCGTTATCTTTATTACTGTCAAAGTAATCGAAAAAATACGGAGCTCTGGGACACCTGTATGTAATATGCGTCTACCGATATTTAAAGACTTTTTAATATCACTAGTTAACATTTTGGGTCGTTTACGGTAGCCTCATTACCAGGAGATTATTTACCTAAAATGAGTTTGTTCCAAAGTTAATTAAACAAATATTTGGAATTAGAAGTCCTTGTCAGAAGCAGGTAATGATATAAACAAAATTCCCAATGTGAAATCGCCCTTGGTTGCTGTGAATGAGGGGTAATTTTTTTGATGTTAGCCATAACGATCATTTGATTAAACTTAGTTCATATTGGTTCATCAAAAAGAAACCTTTCATTGGATCAAAATATCGTAATCATTAACTTTCTAGACAACATAATTAAACATTTTGGAAAAAAATAATAGGAGTAAAATTTACGAGAAATTTTGCACAATACTAAAAAATAAAGGTTATCAAAAGCTTTTATCAATAATATTATGAAAACAAAAGATTTCAGCGGCGAAGATGACGTAGAACAGCAACTTCTGATAAATAAATTTCAATTTCCGCTTATAAATTAATCGTTGCCCAAGAGAAGATAATGTTTTATTTAGTAATATATTGTTTTAACAAAAAATAAATGTAATAGTAGTTATACTTAATAAATGTTACATTATTATAAATAAATTGTTATCATTATTTTTGTATTTACTAATTTCTTTGTATTTTTTGTATTTTGTATTTTTTCTTTTTACAACAAAAAAAATAAAGCAAAAAAAATTATCTCAATTTTATTGTTTCGATAATAGGCGCTGATCTAATAAATTAGTGTTTCTCCAGTAATTATGGAACCGATAACGATAAATTGTTGCAAGGTCAATTTATCATTTATCATGTATTTTGTAAAAAGTGGCGCTCAAAAGTTATAATGATTAATGAAACAGCAAGAAGAAATTTTACAAAAAAATGCTCAAATTGTATTAGAGCGTAATCAATTTTTCCTATAGAACTAATAAGAGCCAAAATTGGTCACTATAAATGAATGAATTTTTTCAAATAAGAAAATAATTTAAAATTGTACTTACCACAAATTGAGACATATTTAACACTGAAGACACTGTAAGTCGCAAATAAAACTGGTTATTTTACTTATTTTCATTTAGACTTTGGAGGTCTATCAGCAAGATCAAATACCGCAAGCGCAGTATTAGCTGTAGAAAAGTTTATATATTTATTGCATTACTGATATGAACAATAATGTGCAACTGTGGAGGTCAAGGACGATTTTTTTTAATTCAAGACCGAAGTACCAAATAAAATCGAAAATGTTAAATTCGGTCCAAAAAATACATGGTGCATAAAAAGTATAGAACCATCAAGCGTTTTTTACTAAATAAGCGTCTTAAACTGTGGGATATAGTTCCCTAACTATTTTAGCTTTAGTTTCTTCCTACTTTCGGCAACAAAATTCTAAATTCTGTATAACTATATATAGTTTTTCACAAAAAGAGGTCCTTTAATTTGTTTCCATATAACTTACCGTTTTTGACTGAAATCTATTTAAAATTTATGTTGGAAACGATAAACAGCATTAAAATCATATTACAGAAGCTACAGAATACCTAATAAATGCAATGAAACCTGTTTTCTCTAATTAATTATCATTTCTACATATATTAAATTTTGTAATTTTATCTATTATACATACAGGTGATTCACGAGGATTAATGAGCCTGACTAAATTTTCGATGCAACCAACATTACAGTTGTCGCAAAATAACTTGCGAGAATTTGGTAAGGCTCATTATTCCTCGTGAATCATCTTGTATAATGGTTTCCGAAATAATGGAAAAAAAAACATAGTATTTTTCGATACCTACATGTCCATAGGAAACTTTTAAATATTGAATATTTTATCACCTACTTATTTAAATTGGTAATTATAAAAACGGAACATCTTGTGTATTAAGTTAAATATCTATAAATATTGGAGCAGTTTTCAGTGAAAACAAACTTACAAACTACTTAAGATTTTGTCAAAACAAGTCTGATTTCACCCGTTTATCACTTACTATCTTTCATAATTCACAAATTGTACCATAACACTGAATACCTAGTGTATAAAACTGTAAAAGCTGTCAATTTTTTTAACTGAAAAATTCCCCCACTTGAAAATTTGGCCAAATTTAAAACCAAACTTTAAACTTGATCTCAGTTTTTGGGCTAAATAACATCTAAAATGCAATATTTTTGCTTGTTTTAATATATTTAAAGCGTTTGTGACAGAGAAACGCAATAAATTTCAAAAATTTACTGAAACAAAACAAAAAATTTTTTGTTTTTTTTTCTATGAAGTGTTTTACCGATTAAAAAATCTTGCGAGTGTTTTTGAGTGTGAATTTCATTTGATTCGAAAGATTTTGACAAAATTCCAAAATTAAGTATAAAATGCGTTTTTTCGTAGGTTTTGATAGATTTAAGGCTACTTTAAAAAAAAATTACAAAATTCATTAAGTTTAAAAAAAAGCAGAAAATTGAAAAGTTACGTATAAAATAACTTTAAAATGCATTACCTATTTTACTAATTTTGTTAAATTTAAGGCGCTTTTCATTGAGAAAATTAGAAAATCTATGGAATTTTGCCAAAACAAAGCAGAAATTTTGTAAAATTAAGTCGAACGTGCATAGTTTTTACTAATTTTGATGCAGTGACGATTATTATAGCAAAAGCCTATACGAACTTTTTTCTTCAAAGAAGTAATAAAAATTTTAAATGTTTTTGTTTCGATAGATTAGTGTTTTTCGCTAAGAAACTGACACATTTTAAAATTTTTGTCAGTTTGTTAAAACAAGACAAAGAATCGTAAAGAATCTGAAATGAGCAAGAAAGACACAAAATTTGAAGTAGTTTGACAAAATTATTAATAAGAATATTTAAATATGTTGTACGTACATAATTATTTTTAATTAATTATAATTTTTTTTACAAATTACAATTTTTATTGCCCAATTTGAATTTTCCTGCCAAGAATCTAGTGAAATCTTGCCATATGTAAAATATCCCTAAGTCAGTCACATGCACAGAACAACAGAGATAAATGGTCACATGTTAATGTCTCCTTTATTTACAAACACATTTTTGTTTACAATTTTTTCACAGTTCTGAAGTAAGTGTAACAAAAAAATGTGCTTTAATTTCACGAAATCTATTATTTTAGCATGGGCTCCGACGAGGGGCCACCGACCAACACCGGCCCTCTCTCAACCTTCAACAGTCTCTTCTCTTTCACCACCCCCGCTGTTAAAAAACTCCTCGGTTGGAAACAAGGCGATGAAGAGGAGCTCTGGGCCGAGAAAGCCGTCGAAAGCCTCGTCAAAAAGCTCAAAACGCGAAAAGGGGCCCTCGAAGACCTCGAACGCGCATTGTCTTCCCTGGACACCCAAAGCAAATGCGTCACAATTCCACGAAGCCTCGACGGTAGACTCCAAGTGTCACACCGCAAGGCCTACCCCCATGTGATTTACTGCCGAGTTTGGAGGTGGCCAGATCTGCAAAGCCACCACGAACTCAAACCACTTGAACAATGCAAATTCCCGTTCTCGGCCAAACAAAAAGACATTTGTATTAATCCTTATCATTATAAAAGGGTGGAAAGTCAGGTTTTGCCACCGGTTTTGGTCCCGAGACATAACGATTTCGTCCCGGGCCACTCCTTATTGCCCCAAAACATCAATTATGAAACCATTTCCCAGCCAGTGGTGTACCAAGAACAACCATTTTGGGCCTCAGTGGCCTACTACGAGCTTAATTCCCGCGTCGGCGAAGGCTTCCACTGCCACTCACCCTCCGTCATCGTCGACGGTTTCACCAACCCCAGCAACAACACTAACCGGTTTTGTTTAGGCCAGTTGAGCAATGTCAATCGCAACTCCACGGTGGAAAACACGCGGAAACACATTGGAAAAGGGCTGCATTTGTACTACGTAAATGGCGAAGTTTACGCTGAGTGTCTCTCTGACGCCCCCATTTTCGTGCAATCTCGCAACTGCAACCACCTTCACGGTTTCCAACCCTCGACGGTCTGTAAAATACCAGCGGGTTGTTCATTAAGGATTTTTAACAACGCTGAATTTGCTAAACTCCTCTCACAATGTGTGAATCATGGTTTCGAGGCTGTTTATGAACTTACGAAGATGTGTACAATTAGGATGAGTTTTGTTAAGGGCTGGGGGGCGGAGTACCACAGACAGGATGTGACAAGTACACCATGCTGGATCGAGGTGCATCTGCATGGCCCACTGCAGTGGTTGGATAAGGTACTGACGCAGATGGGGTCGCCTCTTAATGCTATCAGTTCGGTGTCATAAGAATTCACTCAGTCGGTGGGTAATGTTGCCTTAATTATTAATTTAATAATAAAACAATGATAAACAAAATGTATATAGGTGTCCCAAAAGCAAACCAGTGATAGAAAATGTCATTCTGAGAAAAAACAATTTTTAATCTTCATTCGTTAGAGTTACAGCTTAGCAAAGAGTAACAATGAATTTTGCACAAGTTGGTTATGATAAATTAAAAACAATGACATTTATGAAACAATTGCTTAGTTCCAAAATGGTTCCAAGTCTCATTTAATTGATACATACTGTCAATGAGAAAAAACTTTAATTGGAAAAAAATTAAAAGTTTAGTAAAGACTTAATAACTACAAAAATTGCTTAAATTGTCTTCCATTTCTTCAATTGAATGTTACTTGAAGCAAAGCAACTGCTTTATAATTGTCATCGTTTTTATTTTTGTTACGACTTTTACAAAATTCATTGTTACTCTTTCTAAGCTGTAACTCTTTAATGAATAAAGATAGAAAAAATTATTTAAACTTTTTTTCTCAAAAAGACATTTCCTATCAATGGTTAATGTATAGCGATTAATTTTTGAGACATAAGACGTCAAAAGTTCGGAAACATTTATGCTGGTAAACAAAAAGTATCGGAACCAAGAGTTATTTATATTAACTATTAATAAATACTATCATTTTTTGAGAATTAAATTTTTGGAACTTGGAATTTTTGGGTAAGTATAGTTTATTCAGATGTCACAAAAAAATTGTGATTGTACTAAAATTTTCGTTGTTTTACGTTGACTACCAAATAAATTAGTAATTTTCTAGTTCCAGTGTTGATCATTGCAACATAATAATACAAAAGTAAAAATTTTTGAGGATTAGAATCTAACAATTTGCAAATCTTTAGAAGAATTATCATTGATAACAACTGTGTTGTCAGTTTAATTACGAGTATAGAAATTTTTTACATAATTCTAGTAAGGCGTTTCTACAAATTTTAACTCTTTCGACCTGTACTTTATGACGATCTTGAAAGGCTGAATAAAAAATAAAACAATGTGAAATATTTATAAGTTTTGAAAAAGTATGAAAAACCCATTGACAGGCAAGAGTGGTTTCTAAAATTGTGCCATTTTTTATTATTGGAATTTGTTGTAATAGTAATATGTTTCCCGAGTTGAACACAACACAAATTGTTACTTTTAGTAAATAATATGTTCTTATAAGTGATAACAAATAATAAAGATAATGAAATCTGAAAGTACCTGAGTACTCCCAGAATTTGAAACAATTCAAATACCACGACAACTACAAACATGATTAAAAGTATTAATAAATTACATTGTAACTGTACTGTAAAAAACATTTTTTTTATAAGTAATGGATTATAAATAAAAATTAGCAGTTTCATCAAGAATGAATATAACAAAAATATTAAGTGCAATTTATTATATTTTTGAAAAAAATTTGTTATTTTTATTCTTAAATAGTACTCATAAAATGGCCCAAAGAAGACTTACTCATGTTACAAGTAAAGGTACAAGTCTCATAATCTAGTAAGTAAGTAAATATTTATACACTCATACTATTCCAAGACTGTTTTGTAATATTCTAACATCTAGTTATTGTTTTATATGTTGCCAATTTAGTTTTAAGATATCAACTGCAAAATGGTTAATTCTAGTATTAAGTTGCAATATTTTTTTGTTAACTTCCATAGTATGTATGTAAATAAAAATATTTTTTAAATTCGTTGAAATAAAATTCTTAAAAACATCTAAAAGCTTTACTTTGATGATTACATAAGAAATTAAAAGTACAAGAATTATCTTAGTTGAAACAAGTATATAGAGGGCACCTTGAATCAGACTTGTTGGTAAGTAAATAAATTGTGCTTTAAAAACGTAAATTTATTACTTAAAATGTTTAAGCTAAGTAAAAAGATACTGCAACCATCCTAAATGCAGCAATACAAACATATTCAGAGCACACAAAAATTATTAATGGATAGCAATAAGCCCCGACTCCAACAACTTCTGTATTTTCGCTGCTATATCAGGATTCTTTAAATGATCTTGCAAAGCTCTCGGATCATTTTGCATTTGTTCCAAAATCATCCTCATCGCTGGATCTCTCAAAATCGACTGCACTTCCGGATCGGCCATGGCACGCTGTCTTATCTTTTCCGGATCACCTGACCCGCTCGCATTTTCTATACTGCATGCTCTGTATCCATTGATGGCTTCGGCGTTATTCGGATCGATTTCCAGTGCTTTTTGGAAAGCGGACATAGCTTTAGTCGGTTGTTGCATTCCTTGCAAAATGTGTCCTTTTCGGATCCACCCTTTGATGAATTTCGGATCGAGTTCGACGCATTTTTCACAGTCTTTTAAACCCAGGTCGAAGGCAGCTAATTTTGTATAACAGGCAGCACGGTTACTGTACAGCTTGGCGTCTTCTGGGTTGCGTTTGATGGCTTCGGTGTAGTGTTTAACGGCAGTGGCGTAGTCACCTTTCTTGAATAATTCATTACCTATTAACACAACAAATTTTTATTTTACGACTGAAAATTATGATTTGGCAGCAATTAATAAATTAAGTTGGCAACATTGAATAATATAGACAAAAGTTATATTGCTACAACTCAATATCTTCAGCTTCTTCAAAAATATTGTTTAACCATTTGTCTCTCCAAAAATGGGATATTATAATATGAGCGATTATGACAGCTATTATTCACAGATAATTTGCGCCACTTTCCTACGGCTCGTGGGTGACACAAATCATCAAGGTAAATAATGGCCATACAGGGTGAAGCAGAACTCGCGCCCCAGAGAAAAATGCCATATAAGGTAAGATACCAGAAACATGAAAAAAATGTTAACAAAATTCTATCTATAAAAATTTCGATGTTATGAAAGTTTAAATTTGCACTTTGAATCTATTTTTTGTATTTCTGTTGTAAAAATAATTTTCCAAGTTTTTTGCTACAGGCGATTAGAAGAGGAAACAGAGACGCTGCATCGCAAATTTTAACTCTGTTCAATGTTAATTGTGACTTTTATTGGCAAAATTTTTGTACCTTTACCAAATAATTGTAAAAAAACATATACAAGATCATCAGTATCATTAAATAGATATAAAAATGTAAAATGTCAGAAAATAAATGTCAAAATTTTTTGACAGAGAATTTTTTAAACATTTTTTTCATGTTCCTGGTATCTTACCTTATATGGCATTTTTCTCTGGGGCGCGAGTTCTGCTTCACCCTGTATGTATGATACTATGCTTTTTCTACACTTAAAAACGTTAGACTTAAATTTGTTCATTTTGACACCTGGCTGTGACGAAAGTTGATTTTCAGCCACAGAAAAACTTGATGACAGGTGATTTAACATATCATTGGTTCAGCGCAACAGTGACTTTTGAATTTTTATTTCTGATTGGTCGGATACAGGGATATCGGGTGTCATAAGGTCGGCTATCGGCTTTATCTTGGAAACCAGTTGTCCTACAGATTTTGGAAAAAAAATCATAACAAAAGTGACTTCAAAAAATTCATGGGAATTGTTTTCCTCTCTCAAATCTCACCGTTAGATGGCGTAATCTAAAATCAAATTCGAAAAATGGTAATTTCTCTATAAAATTTATGATGAAGGTGGGTAAGGGTTAAAGAAAATAGAATTTTCTTTAGATTGAAACAGGTTTTGCCCTTGTCAATTTAGTTGTCAAGCTGTGAACTGTCGCATTCGAATATCTGACGTTTTTATGCTTTGACCATGCTATGGTTTCTTAGATTGGTGAATTCAGTCTATCTATTTAATTTAGCGTCCAAACACCAGAGGCGCTCGAATCAAAATTTTAAAATTTTAGCGGTAGGCTGTGACACCTCTGATAGAAAAAATTAAATTTTGACGGTGACATCGTTCAAAGTGCTTACGTGTAGTTATGATTTTTAGATTTTCATTCAGTTATTGTGTACAGATGTGTGGCTGGGTGTACAAGTAAAGGAAGTTTTACCAACAATTTGTGAATTTTGGTGATGAAAATGTGGACATTGATGGGAAAAATATGAAGATTTGTTCCGGCCGACACCCTTTTGTGACAAGAACTCGACAACCCAGACTGTTTATGTTTCCTTCTCGAACATAATTATTCTAATATAATCCATATAAGCATGAAACCACCTATGTTAACTAATTTGATTCAATATCTTTAATAAATCACTTTAAAAAAATAAACTTATATTTTTTTGTTTAATCTCTAATAAGATGCCAGTAGCACTTATCTCCCTGTACTAAATACTCAATTAACATTATTTTTACCATTTCAAAAAGGCACATTTTGCTCTATAGTTCAGCGCTGCTGAATACGAGTTCAAAAGGTTTGTACATGGGTACGCCATCTATAGACCCTATATAAAGTATTCATCTATGGCTTTGACATTTACCGATTTTTTTGCAACCAAGTGTAGGAACCTTATTCCAAATAAAGTTCGACAACTCCCCACATGTCAACCGATTTTAATGATCTTGGTCTTGTTTTGAAGCTATTGGATGGCGAATTCATAATATTCAATAATACTCCAGTTTTTATTTGAGACTGAACCGCTAGATGTAGGTTTTTTTAGAAAAAATTTTTTAATAAACATTAATTTGTTTCCTGCTATTACAAAAAAAGTTTTGAAAAATTAATTTGGTTGTGAAATATGTATTGTTTCTACACCCATTTAATTATACATATAATAAGTGATAAATCGTCCCTATACCGGGTGTCATAATAAGGTATTCCTGAATTTAGTTAGCGGAAACGGTAGATCTTACAACATTAAACAGATACCTAAGAAGAAAAAAAACCACCAGTTTGTGTCTTAAGGGGTACAAAACGTTTAACAAACTAATCCGATAACATCGAAATCAAAAGAGCTAAGGTGTCTACATGATAATAAGGAAATTGTCAGTTCTGTCAATTATGTATATTAAAAAACACAGTTTGAAAAAAAAATGTATTAATTTTTATGCTTAGCTAAAAGTCTTTTATCACCATTTGAGAGTTGGTCCGACATCTTTTTTGAATCACCCTGTATGTAGTCAGTTTCGACAACCGGAAATGTAATTAAAAAATTTTATTATAAATTTGTGTATCAGTTTTTCTTATGAAAATAAACTAAGAAATCCGAATTTGTAACAATTTTACTGAAAAATTATACCGTTCAGGAGAAAGATAAATTCACTCGAGTTTAATTGAACATTTTTCAAATTAACCATAAGAATTGTTTTCTTTTAAATAGAGTTTCACATGGCCTAATATAATTTGGTTTTATCCGAACTCGAGCGATTTTTTTATACTAATTTTTACACTAATAAATTAAATGGAAATTTGCCGTCAAATTTTGTTGGAAAATTATTTTCTAATCTTTAAACAACACGTTTCAAAATGTAGTATAAATGAGTTTTCTTATATCAAATGAACCTAGCAATCCAGATGGAAGTGAGTTTCCCGGAAAAATTTAACCGTACCGGAGAAATCCGGATACTTTTAAACTAACTTGTTGTTTAGAAAATTATTCATATAAACGCAAAAATTGAAAAATACAATTTCAAGGACTATAATTTAAATAAACTGTCCTTAACCGAATTTTAGCAAGTTTTCAAACAGGACAATATTTGTCACAGAAAAACTCGGTGGGGGGACTTACAAAAATATTTTCTAGCTCTTAAAACATGTAGGTATATTAAAAATATCGAGTTCTAAAAATTTTTAATTCTAATTTCATAAACGAATAGAAGTGACCCAAATGGCCTGAGATTTTGGAATTAAGTTCGCAACACTGAGTAAATAGACAGAAATTGACATGAGTGACATTTTCTATATTGTTCAATATTGCCAACTTAATATCAGTATCACAAATTGGAGAAAACTTTTGAAACTTACCAATTTCTTTTTCTTTTTCTGCTAATTCCGGATTAACGTAAGCTTTCCGTTCTTCCTCTTTGATAATCTTCTCAACATCGGACAACAGCGTCTTAATTTCAGGCGTCCTATGTTCAGACATTGACTTTTCGTAGTAAATTTTCGCCTGTTGATAATTCTTCAGTCTCTTATACGCATTACCAATCCTAAGAAACGACTTTGCGATTAATTTAAAATCGGCCCTATTCTCCCTTCCTATTTCTATAGCTTTCTCACACTCTTTAATACATCTATCATAATCCTTTTCTTCAAAAAAAACCGCCGCCAAATTATTATAAAACGTAATATCAGTTGGATCGTGTTCTATAGCTTTATTATAATGCTCGATGGCTTTTTCAAAATTCTTCTTCTTGTAAAATTCGTTCCCTTGTTCCTTCTCAGCTTTGGCGAGCTTCTTATTTTCGGGTAAATCAGGTTCTGGTTCTTTTTTGGGTTCAAATTTAGGTTCGGGTTTTTTGGGCGGAGGGGTATAAACGGGTTCAGTCTCCATCGGTTCTTCCCCTGGATCAATCCCAATTAGGACACTCAAAGTGGTCAAGATATTGGGGTCTTGGAGTTTTTGGCCTAGAAGATTCGGATTGGCTCTGAGCATATGAAGCGTAGCGACGTAATTGGGGTCATCTAGCAGGGGTCTGGTCCGGGGGTCACTCCGCAGCTTGTCCATGAGGTCGGGCCGGTTGAAGGGGTTAGGGAAACGAGAGGTGGTTTTCTGGGATTGCACTTCCTTGAGCCCTTCTTGCAACTGCACGTTGGTGGGCTCGATCTGGAGGCCCTTTTCGTACGTAGCGATGGCGTCATCAAGACGGCCCAAGTAAGCCAAAGCAGCCCCTTTTCGCGAGTAACCTTTAGTCCAATCGGGTTTCAATTCGACCGTTTTGTTGGCGTCTTCGAGAGCAGGCTCATGTTTGTTGGCTTTGGCATATGCAGCGGAGCGGTTTGAGTACAACACGTGGTTTGTGGGGTCCAGTTTGATGGCTTCGGTGTAATGTTTGATAGCCTCTTCGAAGTTGTTGGCGGCCAATGCGGCATTGCCTTTATCTTTCAAAACAGCGACCTATGAAGATACATCACGTGGAGGTTTTTAATTATTGAAAACTTGTTGTACTTACTTGATCCATTTGACCGGCACTTTAATAATCACAAAAACACGTTTTCAACACGTTACTTTTTATTCTCGAGGATTCTTATTCGAGAAGTTTCCAGTCATTGAAGATTCCCCCACCACTTGTTCTGTCAAAAAGAAGTACACATTTTTTTGACATTCGTACAACATTTAAATCATTTAATTCATTAATTACGCGCAACGCAGCTTAAGCATCATTTTATTGAGTGACAAATGCATGAAATAAAATGTACTTTATAAAAATTAATTGTATTTTATAAATTTAGAAACGTGTATTGTTGGTTGCCTATAATGATTTTTATATTTGTAGTTTACGTAAATTAATGGATGCTTTTTTAAATTTGGCGTCAAAGCTATCCATAAAAGTTTGATTGTCAATGAAAAGAAAACTTACAATACAATGGTTCGTTCACAATCAAACTTTCATGGATAGCTTTGACGCCAAATTTAAATAAACACCCGTTACATTTGCTACAATTGCGTACACGGAATTTTAGACATAAATTTTATGTAAGTTTCAAAAATTTCAATGTAAGCCACGCTTTATTGTCATTATGATTGACGTTTGAAACTAAAAGAAAGTTTTAGTTGAAATTTATTTTTGGCGTAGATTTTTCGAAAGAATAATGCCAGCAATACATTTTTACATACCGTGCGATCAAAAAAATAATAAATTAGAGTAGGCGGTGATTAAAGTCCTTCAGATGGCAATCCTGATTTTTGACATCAAATGTCAGCGGAAACTTTGACTAGTTTGCGTTTTATTCCTTTTGAGTGAAATAATGTTCACTTTAGAGCAGACATTTTTTATTGCTGTACAAGAGGGAAACGGTGGATGGTCATTTGCACTTTGAGTTTGTGTGGAAAATTTCTAGCTCAGATTTCCAGCCAATGTGTTGCCAACTGTAGAATTCAATCGACGCCTACTCTAATTTATTTTTTATTTGATCGCACGGTATTAATGTGCATCAAGTAGATTGTAGAAGTCTAAGTGAATCTTTAATTTAAAGGCCGATTTACACACAGTGTCATTAATGTCATTGAAAACAAATTTAATCACATCAATAATGACAAAAATCTTTATGTTTGCTAACCTTTGTTAATTATTTGTTAATTTTAATTACTTTCTGCTACATGGGGTACACATTTATTTGAAAAAATAATTTTTAGGGAAGATTGAGGTTAGGATTGTTTGAATTTTCGCATACATCGATGTACATTAATGTGAAAACGAGTATAGTTTTTTGTATTAGTTAATTGTACATTTAATAAAAGTGTTATACAATAGAAAGCTGTTTTTGAAGTAGATAGTTCATAATTTTTATTTACGGACGTAAAAAAAATGCAACTTTACAATTTCATTTTTACCACATAATGGTTCTGTGTTACGCCACTGCATCACTACACCAAGTACACATTATTGGCTCCGCCTATCAATATCCTTCTACCACTTCTACGATTTCCTGACCTCTAAAACAAGTGTCACAGATTAGCTCTAACTAATCTGTGCAAGTGTATTGCTAATTTAGCAGTTGGACGTCTTCTGCAGATTAGCACATGGTGGTCATGATTTAAATTTATTATTATTTGTAACAATTTATAAACAACACGTTTTTAAGATCAGATTATAAATTAAGCAAATTAAATGCGTCAACTTCGTTTACTTTTTGTGTTGAAATTAACTGTTTTTAATACTGTACAATTTGGGAAATTTATTGGTAGTTCGTATTTTTAGCACTTGGTCGTTTGACACATGTTTGACAGACTGAACACATGTTTGACAGACAGTGTCAAAATCATATGGGTTAGTTTGAATGGTGTTGTGCAGAAGGTGTAATAATAATGCACTGTAAGGACTTTTAATGGACAATTAAATGAAATAAATATTCGAAAATATAAAACTTAAAAGTGTGGTTACACAAGTATATTTGTATTTTGCGAAAGAGTAAAAAAGTTGTATTTATTTCTATTTCCAGAAGCAGCAATGCGAGTAAATAATAGACGAAGAAATAAGAGAGCCAAATCTGCCCGTGAAGCAGCTTGGAAAAGAAAGTGAGTATATTATACTACCGTGCGATCAAAAAAATAATAATTAGAGTAGGCGGTGATTAAAGTCCTTCAGATGGCAATCCTGATTTTTGACATCAAATGTCAGCGGAAACTTTGGCAAGTTTGCGTTTTATTCCTTTTGAGTGAAATAATGTTCACTTTAGAGCAGAAAATTTTTATTTCTGTACAAGACGAAAACGGTGAACGGTGAATTTTCACTTTTAGTTTGTGTGGAAAATTTCCAGCCTAAATTCCCAGCCAATGTGTTGCCAACTGTAGAATTTAATCGACGCCTACTCTAATTTATTTTTTTTTTGATCGCACGGTACATTACACACGAGGTGGATAAAATGGCATTACCCCGAGTGCTCATGTATACGATCGAGAGGCGCCAGCCGTATTATTTTTTTTTATTTTTAAAAAGTTCATGTTCACTTTAAATTCTGAGAGTAAAAAAAAAGATAAAAAAATCTTTGATTTTACGCCAAAACTGTTAAGGAAAAGTGTCATTTAACAATAGTTGACAAATATTATGAATAATAATGGTGTAATAATCAGAGAAAGGCAAATTTATATCACGAGCCCACTGCGCAACCGCTGCGATCAACTGTAACCATAGGCGTCGATTGTCGTAAAAAAAAATTACATCAAAATCTGGCACGCCTCTGCCTTTAGCTGAACGCACTGGTTGCCTATTCTTGCGACATAAATTTGTCGCTGTCTGGTAATAATGTACAGTTGGAGACAAAATACTTTGGTCGTCACTTTATTCACACTTTAATTAATTCAAGCTTTCACGTTAAAATGAATGACAATTTTAAATTAATGACAGCTATTATATTTTCCTCTCAAAAATATGATTGTATGATTGACAGTGGCTAAAAATAAGGTTAACAGTCCTAAAGCATGCTTTACAATCTAATGTCACTCAAGTAACATTGACGACCGAAGTATTTTGTCTCCAACTGTACACTGGCGGACAATAATATCGCTACACTATTTTTTGCTGGATTAAGTGGGTATTAGCATGACATAAACCTTGTCAGTGTCAAATAGTAAAAATGCCACAACCCAAAACAAAAAACTCTTATACTGTTTAAACTGTAGGAGGGCTATATCTTCGTCTATAGCATAAAAGCAGTTACAAAATAATAGAATTTAAACAAAAACGCAATTTTAAAAGTGAAGAAGAGATGGAAACAAGAAGAGAGTATAACTTCTTTTCTAAACATACTTTGGAACATTAAATAACACAATAACACACAATTACTCATTGAAAAAGTTGAAAAAAATGTATTACTTGGTTTTTCCACTGTACATGGTGCTCATTTTGGATGTCCGAATAGGGAATAGCGAAAAAAAACGAGTAATACATTCTGGAGCTCATTTTTTGAGGAAATAATATTGGTTAAAATCGCTATCGTCTTTTGTTTTCGACTTATAGACAAAAATTGACATTTTAGCAAAATCTAAAAAAAATCGTATCTTCGTTATTATAGAAGACACAGATTTGAAATAAAGCCATTTTGCAGGCAGTTTTTTACGTAGAATTTAATAATGTAGTTAACAATTTTTTTTAGTTGTTTGTTTAACCGTAATAAAATAAACTTGTATTTTTTTAATGGAAATCATAGATGGCTATGTCATTTTTAAAAGGCTTGTTTTTTTTCTTATCTAAAAAATATATATTTGTAACAAACTATTATAATACATTTTTAACAAAAAATTATCTTTGATTTTTGTTCTCAGTTGACCATGAAAAAATGTTGCATCTTCAACTAAAAGGATTTAAACTACATTATTCAACCAGTGTCACTAATGAAAGAGTTTTCTAAGTAATAAAAAATTTAAAAAATGCAAAATAAATCGCAAATCAACATTTCTTTGTTTTTAAACAAGCTAACGTTACCATTGTAACTTCTAGTGATACATAGAGTGTTGTAAAAAAAAAAAACGCTTTAATTCGTCAATAAAATATATTTTATATGACACAAAAATGACGATATGGTTATTCAAATACCCAAATTCCATCTATCTGGAACGTTATCCTACCTCCATTAGATCATCAAAAAAATGTTTTTTCTAATTGTGTTGACTGTTGATACATTTGTTTTTCCTATTTTTGGATTTTTTAAAAATATGTAATAATTTTGTTCTAAGGCGCTCGCATATTTGTTTAATACTTCTAACGTAACATATTTTTTGAATTTTCATAATTTTATCTATTTTTTCATCAATTTTACAGTTCACAAAACTCTTATTGATTATTATTTACACATTTGGAGTGAAATAGTTTTTTCATGGCCAACTATTATCAAACAAAATATGTATTTCATTTTTTAAGTATCATTATAAAAAAATATTCTGTTACAAATTTATATTTTTAGATCAGAAAAAAATAAGCTTTTCAAAATTGCCATAGCCGCCTATGATTTCCATTTAAAAATTTACAAGTTTATCTTATCACGGCTAAACCAATAAATGAAAAAAAAAAATGTTAACCACATTATTAAATTCTTCGTAAAAAGTGCCTGCATAATGGCTTTATTTCAAATCTGTGTCTTCTATAATAACTAAGATACGATTTTTTTTAGATTTTGCTAAAATGTCAATTTTTGTCTATAAGTCGAAAACAAATGACGATAGCGGGATGCGGTTTTAACCAATATTATTTTCTCAAAAAATGAGCCCCAGAATGTATCACTCGTTTTTGGCTAAACATCTTAGTTTCGGAGATTTCCTATTCGGACAACCAAAATGCAGCACCCTGTACACGACTGTATTGTTCGTTAATGTACACTTCCAGTCGTTAAATTTTTGACTCTAGCGCCATATCTTGGTTGTATGAAAAACTAAAATTGGCGGCAAACTTGAATAAATTAACTAAACTTGACTCGACCTCACTGATTTATATGCAATTACAGATACAAAATGCGTCATTTACTCACAAACTATGCCACCGGCCAATTGGAAATCCATGAAGGGTTAACAGAAGATATAGCGAAAATAGGAAATATTATTCGTTCTAGCTGGTGCAGAGCGTGGTTAGTTGAGCATAAAAAACAGCTTGAATTGAATACCACTAGTCAAGTTTGGATTCAAGAGACATCACCAACATTGTCTCCGTGTTCTCCGATCCCAGAATTATCTTTCGAAAATAAACCGCAAATTGGGCAGACTTACTCAAAGAAAACACCTTATGGTTAGTGAGATTTTTTTTCATTTATTTATAATTCAAAAAAACATTTATTTATTGTTCAGCGGTGATTCCAAGTCGAGAAAGATGTGACTTAACAGCCGAAACACACATTAAAATAGAAGAAGAAGACCTGGAGGAGATACATGAAGTGGAGATTCACTTTGATAGTGATGAAATTAACACAATTTCTTATGAAGAAAACATGGAGCAAGATCCTCTCGAAATCAATTGTAAACAAGAAGTAAAAATCGAAGAAGTGAAGGACACGAGTGAAGATTCTCAAGCCAGTTCAAGTGAAAATTTCGGGAAAAATGGAAATCTCTTGTCTCTATCAAAATTTTTAAAGTCCAAACCAAATAAAAAACTAACAATCGAAGACTTGGAGCAGTTTTGTAAAGAAAAGAAATGTAAAGTAATTGTATGTAAAAGTGAAACAACTTCCGTTAACAATCAGTTAAAAATACAACAACAATTAATCGAAACAATGAGTAAAAAAATTACACAAATCACGAAACAAGTAAATCAGTTGCAAGAGCAACAAACTACAGCCCAAGGGCCATTTCGTTTGGAGATTAATGAATCGAATAAAACAACTTCTCATTCAACCATTGAGAAAATAGGGGTAAGTAATCAAGTAATAATTTAAATATTTTACGACAAAAATTACTACATAACCGTTTTAGGCTTGCAATATTTTGTTTCATTCTCCAATGTCAAATCCAGCAGTTCTTCAACCTCCACCACGACCCAAATTAAGTGTTACAAAAACAGGAACATGTGTGACTCTCAAATGGACAATGCTGCATTGTTATAGTCTTGATGCACCAATTGCAAGTTATCAAGTGTTTAGTTATTTACTCACTAATAATAAAACACGCAATCGGTGGCGAAAAGTGAATGAAGTGAAAGCGGTTGGTCTTTCTATGGGTTGTATTTTTATGAATATTGATGATGAGCTAGTACGTTATTTTGTTGTACGAGCGGTTGATATTTATAAAAGACGGGGGCGGTTTAGTAATGAAGTATCTATAAATACAAAAAAATGTAACTAGAATTTTATAAATCAGGGTTTTTTGTAATTTTACGAGTTGCATTTTACAGATATAGAGCTTGTAAAATTGTTTTATTGGTTTATGTCTGTTAAGAGCAATGTTACATGCACAAAAATACTCTCGTACAGTTGGAGACAAAATACTTTGGTCGTCAATGTCACTTGAGTGACATTAAATTGTAAAGCATGATTTAGGACTGTTAACCTTATTTTTAGCTACTGTAAATCATAGTTGACAAGTTGTACATATTTTTGATAGAAAAATATAATAGCTGTCATTAATTTGAAACTGACATTCATTTTAACGTTAAATCTTGAATTACATTAAAGTGTCAGAAAAGTGACGACCAAAGTATTTTGTCTCCAACTGTAACTATGGCATAACCTTATTGATTGCTGTAAAATTTTACAATATTGAAATGTCAATTTTACAATATCGATATGTCATTTTTTCTGACATAACGATATTGTAAAATTGTAAATTCGCTCGGATTTCAAACTGACATCTGCAGCTGTTATGACATTCATTACATCCTAGGTATGTTAATAGCTATACTCGTTTTCAAATTAATGTGCATCGAAGTAGTCGTTGAAAGGGATCGTTTTAAGGTGGCAGCCATGCGAAAATTCAAATAATCCTAACCTCAAGATTCCCTAAATATTATTTTTTCAAATAATTGTGCATCGCATGTCCCAAAAAATAATTAAAGTTAACAACGTAATTAACATAGGATAGCAAACTTAAAGATTTTTGTCATTATTGATGTGATTAAATTTGCTCTGAAAGACATTAATGACACTTTTTGTGTAAATCCTCCTTTAAATTAAAGATTCATTTCTACAACCTACTTGATGAACATTAATATGAAAAACAGTACAAAACACAGTGTAGTACATGTGCCAAATTATTTTATTTGAACTTTTTTGTTTCGTCTTATTTTTCTTGTTATTTTTATGTTTGTGTTCACTTTAAATTCTGAGAGTAAATCATCTTGCGTTTTAATAATAATTCTTAATTTTTAAAGAAAGTGAGTTTTATTCTTCGATATTGTCAAAATTTGGGTTTTCTCCTGTGTAAGGAAGTTTTGACATTTCTCAGATTATTTTTAACAGATTTAAAGCAATTTTAAGCCTTGTTGAGTCCAATTGGAAGAATAAAATGTTGTATTCAACTCGTCTTCGTGTAAATCGGACGCTTTATTCCATCTCGTGGATGATAAACCACTCGTTAACACTCGTGTGGTGTAATAATCCACTCGTGACATAAAGCGTCTGATTTACACTCAAACTCGTCGAATAAATAACTATTATTCTTAAAATGTTGTCGTGTTACTGTGACACGAATCCTGTTTCATAATAATTTAAAAATGATAGCTTTGTTTAAATATCAATATTTCCATTATGCAACCAGCTATACATCTATATTCTGTGACTGGTTTATCGTTAATATAATAAAGGATATTTTTTTGTGACAGATTAAAAAACGTACTAACAATTTAAATCATTATACAAATATTATTTGTAGTTTTTGTAAGTGTATAGCTGGTTGCCTGTAATTTATTTGCCTCGTATGCATAACGCTATTTATTCCAAAAAAAAAAGGGATAAAGAGAAAAATCTGGTTTATAAGTTTGTTATCGACAAATTTAGGGACAAGGAAATCTATTATTTAAGAGAAAAAAACAATATGGAAGGTGAGAGTGTACAATGGCGAGCATTAAATTTTGGTACTCCAATGTCAATGCCTAACATGCTCTATTGTGAAACGAACGTGTGGATATTAAATAGTTCTATTCAAATTGACGGAACTTCAAAAAATCCTCTCTCTAGCATAGAGACTGGCGGCACAAAATATTTGGTAATTAGTTTTTGGGGTGGTGTTTTGACATTTATATTCATGTTTGAATGAGAGTTGACAACAGACAAAATTACACAGGGAAATTTCTTTTTTTGACAAAAAGAGCAAGTTGAAAATTTAATGGTTGCAATTGTACATTGTAGATTTGAAAGGTACAATTGTGTTATTTCTGATCTAATTTACGTTTTTAAATTTCACTGTTATTTGTGTGCCTTAGCATAACAAAAAATATGAAATAAAACATTGTTTAAGTCAAGTTTTTTCTTACCAAATAGAAGACCACCCAAAGAATTTACTACTGGAAATAAAGCAAAAAAAAGAAGAGAATACATTTATCCATTTTTACATTTTTGTTTTATGTTTTTCCTTATATCAGCCACTATTATATAAAGCATACGTAACATTCATTTTCTTTTTTTCAATATGTATACAAAATTTTCTTAAAAATTTGAAGAATTTGGCAAAGCCACAACAGAAGTTTAAATATTTTAAATACAAAACGCGGTTTTATTACACAAAAATTTTAAACCAAATGTGATAAAGTATATACAGGGTGAGTCTTAACTTATACGCTTAATTTTAGGGTATGATAAGTTATGCCAAATAATACCTAGTAGGTAGTGAAAAAAAATGTAATAAAAATTTCTTAGTTACCGAGAAAATCCGTGTTAAAAACACTATTCGTTTTTAAAATTTGAGATAATAACTAAGTGAATCGATTTTTTATTTTGGTGGTGTTAAGTGGTATTTTTTATTGATATTCGACAAAAAAAAGTTTTATTAAACTTATTTTTCATTTTTTTATTTATTATTGTTCCTAAATTTATTCGTATAAGTTACGACTCACCTTGTATATGTACATATTTGTCAGTAGAATCCAAAAAACACCTAATTGGAAAAAAAATTAAAGAAAGAAAAGTAAATTAAATTCTTAAATAATAAAGTCATTTTTGGTTAAAGAAAATAAAGGCTTTATGTATTCTCTTTTGCGTATGTACATACAAAAAAGTATGTACTATGCGGCACAAAAAATTATACCTACCTACAGCTAAGTCATTAAATGTGAAATGATCCATTCCTTGTTGTCAGTGATATTCCTAACATTTTGATATTTTGGAGATTTCAAAAAGTCAAATTTAACGTTGAAGCCTGCTTTACAGTGAATTTTCAGAAAATGTAAAATTTTGTTGTCCCATTTTTTTGTCCTGTATGGTACTATAGAAAACAATCGTTTCAACGATGGTAAAACAATAAACACAAAAATGCGATAGAACGTTATATTTTCAAACTTCTTATCAATTTTCGATGAAAATTTGAAGAATAATTATTTGTTAACAAAACACTAAAATAATTTTTTATCTCCAATATGGAGTTTATTTTCTGAGGTGTACATTACGTTTTTCTGAAATGGCAGTTTTGTAGAATTATGTAAAAATTCAAAATAATTATGCAACTAAATAATGTGTTGCATACTTTACAGACTATTCTGTCACTGATTTCTGTCGACTTTATGGCCGAGTCCCCAAAAGTACATTTTTCTTTTTTATGAACTACGAGTATGGTTTAGATTATTGCGTTTACTTTACGGACGATTTGAGAATAATAGTATATTCTATAACAAGGTTAGAATGAAAATTTGATTCGAGTGGAAGGAACCACTTCTAAGGTTTGTATACTATTTTATTCATAATTATCAAATTTATTATAATTTTATTATAATTTATCAAATTTTGAAAAACATGATATATGACAGTTTGGGTTGGGAAGTGGCCATTTCCCAACAATTGCTGAATTACATATCAACATTAACAACTGATAAGGAAGTGACCCGAACTGCATATATCATATCAATTGATAAATGAAGATGAAGTGTCATACTTTGTGTGTGTGTGTGTGTGTGTGTTCTTTTAGTTATTAAAATCGTAATCTTTTTGATAATGTCATTTTATTTGACGTTTCACAGACATACGTTTTTGGCTCCAAGGATGACTGGATTACAAATTATCTTAATCGCTCCATACATACTTTGGATTTGGAATTTCTATTGTAAAAGTGTTGGTGTTTTTTCCATGTCTTTCACCAGTTTCAAGAAAATAAAAAGAGGGTCAACACATTGATATCTCGGGATGTCCCAGTCCACAAATTAATTTTTAACGGATGTTGGTTAAATTTAGAAGAAAAACTACGGGATTAACCTTAGTTTTTAGTAGAACTTGTAATTATGTCGAACCTAAATTAAAGACGAAAATTTTAGCTTGTTTTGTAAAGAGAAAAATCATGAAAACTTTTAAAGTTTAATTTTTTTTGTATTACACTCGTATAAAAAAAATTGAACAAAAAACATTCAAATTTTTGTCGTGAAACAGAATTTTTCTCAAAAACTTTTCATAAACGCAACCTAAAAACTTTACTTTATAAATTTTCATGTGAGTAAAGTGACTTTACATTCATTGTTATCAGCTTTTCGTAGAAGTCCATTTTAAGTCCATATCAGCACCACGAAACTCTGGAATATCCCATGATGTAAACTTTCTCCACCGATTTTTTTTTCCTTGTTAGTATTGTCGTAGGCACGTCTGTTCCACTTTTTTATCTCGGTACTTTCCTTATTCCTTATGCAGTGCCACCAAAAATAAGCGTTCCAAAGTTCAAAACCGATGACTGTAAAAGAAATCCCAATAATTTTAACAGTGTGATGCAATGACTTATTTGGAAGTACTTATTTGTTTTGTGGCGTATTGAGGGTGATCTCCAACCTTGATATTTTACAAGGAATACACCAATCAAACAAAACAAATTCTTTCGTGGTAGTGAAACCACAAGAATGTTAAATAAACAAATCTTCCGCTTTGTGTTATTACTATTGACATGTCACATTTAGATCGTGCTTTCCGAAGGTTCAACAACTTCTTAGGTCGAAATTTCGTGGTTAAACTAATTTCTAAATATGTAAATAACTTAGAGGATTTTTATATTTTTACTTTAATTCTGGCAAAAAAGATTGTATTTTTGGACCAGCTTTACATACAGCGTGAGCTGAAGAATACTGATTATTGAAGATAAAAATGTGGTTTTTGCTTTATTTTATATAGTTGTCAAATCTTAACTGAAATTAATTTGAAATATGTAAGGGGTTTTAATAAAAAAAGAAAAGGAGTTTTTCTCTATCGTTTTATGTAATTCTTATGAGGTTTTTTGTATGCAGGGTGTCAACTATAAGTTATTCTGCAATTTGAAACAGTCACAAGTTGTTTTTTTTTAATGTAATATACAGTGGCGCACCAATTCAGTCGTAGGTACGTTGTTGAGAAACATACAGGGTGTCAATTTTAAAACATGCAATCGGCAATATTAATTACAACAAGATCATCAGTATCATTAA